CTTCTTCCAAAATACCAACCATAAAGAAGAATGGATTGCATATTTTTACATGCTATATGTACCACAATCAATAAATAAAGAAGGATATGAATGAGGGTGGTTTATATTTTTTACTATATAACATTTAATGGTAATGGCAACAAAATATACACAGTAGATACACAGAAATTTTATTATCCACAAAAGAAAAATCTTTTGAGCATACAAACTTTATTTTCACATTTATAATTTGCAGGATGATGTATAAACTATAATAAATGCTTTTTTTAAGTCAGCAGAAGCATATGCTATTTTGCACACGTATGAATTCAACAACTAGATCCAGTATGTTTCAAAGAAAGCAGATAAAGACGAGATTATGTATTAAATACTAGTATAATGATCACAAAACAAAAGTATTTTGTACAAATTCTGGCTTCTTGTTAAACTTTATGACAAACGTAATATTGGAAAACACCGTCCCATTTAGGATCGCCCCCGATGCATCTGTCAATTTTCAGCCCTATATCCATTAACAAATCAGCTGCGGACACTAATACCGGGGTATGTCCAAATATAACAATGTACCCGCCCTTTTTCAAACTTCTAAGTAGTGGGTGGATCATTTTTCTCGCATCCGCTGCTTTTAGGACCTCGGAATTTATGAACCTTACAAACACTACATCTGCGGTTCCGTCGGCTATTTTCGGTTCAATGGCATTCCCACAGTAAATTTCATCCACACGTTTTTTGGCAAAGCTAACCATATGTTGACTAATATCTTGGCCCACCGTGTGACTTTTTGGTAAAGCCTGCTTCATTGTCCATAGGAACTGTCCAGTTGAACACGCGGGGTCGTATAAAGTCAAGTCCTCCTTCCCAAGCGATTTAAGGAATTGCACGGAGTATTCTCGGAGGAAAACCTCCCCCTCTCCAAGCTGAAGAGCAAGAGTCTCGTCGATTTCCCATCCTTCATCCGGGCAATGAATCTCCTCCTTGTAAGCCGTCTGTAGGACGGGGTAGGGGAATATAATCTCCATGTGTTTAATGCGGTTCTGAACAATGTCGTGCATGATGTATTTTTTCTCGCCTGGTGTGAGCTCCTTGTAGTACACCACGAAGCCGTCGTCTTGTACGCGCTGATCAAACATTAGGCCGAGGATCATACTGGCTCTGATGTGACTACAGTGCAGCTCGCGGATTTTGCTAGCAATCCATTGATGCGACAAAATACGCCGTCCTACTAGGGCACGCAACATTCCATTATGTTGCTGCCAACTCTTCAGCAGGAAAACGCTCTGAGGTAGTTCGTCCCATTTCTCAAAATAAATTTTGGGAGGTCTCTGGCTAATTGCGTCCCAGTCAATTCCGTCAGAGGCCTTGACGTCATCGCTAATGTGACGCTCCTCATACGTCTCAACTTCTTTTAGAATCAGCTCTATATTTCTCTTATCGTGTTTGTCCGTTGTGTCTTTGATTAACTCCTTGAATTTAGTCTTTGATTCTTCCCACTTTCCGTCAGTGATCAGTTTCTGAGCTGCATAAAGTCTCTTACGAGTTTCGGGGTTGTTGACGTCACGGAATATCCCGTCAAAATCAAACGTGCTGTGTCCCTCTGTCGCGGTGGGCAGGCTTCCTTCTTTAGCACTCATTGTTGGTTGTGATTTTGTAGGATACTGAGGCAACACAAAGTGTGGACTTGAGCAGCATTGACTGTATGTAGGAAAAGGCGTCCTAACACGCAAAATAGGGAACGTCCTATATTCCACTGATAAAACTAAGTTTAAAAACCGTTTGATAACAGTATCTAAGACAAGGCGTGTGGTCTTTATCGATGTTTACTAGTATGTTGTTGAAATCTATTCATAAATCATTAAAAAAAATTGTTGATTGTTTTGGAGAGATAAAAAAAAAAAAAACTGTCCTTTTTGACAGATTTTATGTTATAAAATAAACTCTGGAATTTGAATACTTGATTGCAGAGTTTCTTTGATAAAATAAAATCTATCAGAAAGGACAAAACTAAAATGAGGTATGAATTCAGTCAGTAAGAAATGCGAAAAAAAACCCAATGTCATATAAAGCTTAGTGTGACGAGTACACTTTCTCAAATGTATCAAACTTTATTTTTAAAGTGCAGGAAAAAAACCTCATTTTCATTACAAAACCGTACTATACCTCATGTTTACATGATAGCGATGTTAGGGACATACATATTTTTAGTTCATCGTTCCGAAAATAATCTGGTTAACAATTTCTTGGATTTTCTTAAAATCGGTAACTATGGAAAATAATGATTTTTACTTGCTTATTGAGATGGCAACGGTTTCACTTCATTGGGAAATTAGAAAAAAAACCCTTTTCACCCATTTTTTCTTCAAATTTTCTATAACAAAAATAAACAAGAGGCTCATGGGCCACATCGCTCACCTTAAAACTTTGGTCATGCTGTTCTTTAACAATCCCCCCTGTAGTTTTACTAATAACAATTGTGACCACGCCCTATCTCCAGGGGTTATGATTTAATCAATTTAGAGTCTACTCTACCCCAAGATGCTTTCACATAAGTTTCAGCTTTTCTGGCCCAATGGTTCTTGAGAAGTAGATTTTTCTATATATATATATTTCAATGTAAAACTTTGATTAACCATTATGGCCCGCTCTACCCCCGGGAGTCATGATTTGAACAATTTAGAATGTTCAATACCCCAGGATGCTTCCACAAGTTTCAGCTTTTTTGGTCCAGTGGTCATTGAGAAGATTTTTTAATGACCCCACCCTATTTTGTATTTTTTTGATTGTCTCCCATTACCCCCCCCCCCCCCCGCCCCCACAATGTGTTTAAAATTGCTTTATGAGGTTGAAAAAACTAAAATTAGATTTAACCCCACAAATCTTCACGGACATTTTTGGACACTACGCCTGCGCTCTGAATTAGCGTGGGATGCGCCATGTTGCTTAGGTTAGACGGAGCACACCTTTAAGCAAATGCAGTAAGTCTTCTATTTTGTAACTCTGGAATGAAATCAGAGAAAGTATTTTAGCTAACATGAAACCTTTTAGATATTGTGCAGTTGTAGAATTTATTGAAAGTAAACAAAATCTGTGGTTCGACACTTTTTAACTGTTTAACATGTTTGACCACGTGTTTAAAAAATTGATGTTGAGTTCAGTACTTTTTATTAGCGGCTGCGTTCAATGCATTTTTGCAGCATGTTCATAAATTGTCCAAACAGGCCCAGAGTTTCTGAAAACCTACCGGCAAAAGCGATAGATTGATTGATTGTATATTGTTTAAGGTCCCTCTCGAGAATTTTTCACTCATGGAGACGCCACCACTTGCCGGTGGAGGGCTACAAATTTTGTCCTATGCTCGGCACTTAGGGCCTTTGAGCAGTGAGGAATCTTTTCCGTGCCAGCACCTACTGCGACACGGGGCCTCGGTTTATACGGTCTCATCCGAAGGACCGGTCTCCAAGTCCCACAGTGGGATTCGAACCCGCGACGTAAGGATTGAATCCTTACTTCGCGACTCTAGAGCAGACGCTCTAACCACTGCGCCACGCGGGCGACCAAAAGCGATAGAAAATCGAAATGTCCGATAAAATTCACTACAGTACCGGTCCATGTGACCGATTGTGGTGAGGGCTTGTCCTGATTAATTTATTATATCTGATCTATTGCAATGTCTTAATAAATGAATATTTTCAATGCAAAATGCTTCTATTTTTCGTAAATATCTATAGTCTTATAATTATAGACCTATTTGATGGCGCCTATTTATGAAAAGTGTTCAGCTTAAACAATTAAGATCATATATAATTTGCATATTAAATGATTTACTATGCACAGAACATTAGTCAATGCAAATAATACAAAACTCATTTTCAACAATACAACGAATCCTATTCATTAATCAAGAATAAAAAAAATGGACTAAGGTTTTTATCATTTTCATTAACCACCTATGCAATGATACAACTCTGAACTGTTCATATAAATGGTAGATTTCATCTTGTTGACTTGTTTACACCTCTCCAAAACCTTTCCATACTAACTAATTACAAATTAATTAAATTTTTTTTTACGCTTTTTAACAAGGATTCCCGAAACTTTTTTTTGATGTTGTCTCTAGGTCTTTTGTGAATTAAACCATTTTCCCTTTCGCTTATTTTCATCTCTTCTATTTTTTTTTTTTTTGCCCAGGACATCTGTCCTCTGTAAAACACCTGCTGAATAAAGACAGCAATTCTTTTTCCTCCTCCTTGGACCACCTCTGTCTGAATTCTTTTTCTTTGGTGCTGAATGTGCACAAAAGGATAAATTACCGTTATAAATAAACAAGTTCAGCCTATCCAAACATTACCTTACAAATATGACGTTCAACTAAATACTGTGAAATCACATATTTTCGTGAGGTCAAATTTTCGTGGTTGAAGGAAAAATGTTGGTCAGTGGGTATTTGATTTCGTGGATGAAGAACCTGTCTCTTCATACCTCGAAAACAACGAAAATTAACCCCCCAAGAGAATTAGCGATTTCACAGTAACAAATTTGTAAACGTTTAACATCAACTTATTTTTGCAATCAAACCTATGTTGCTAACATTAATCAATTACATTGTGCAAGAGAAGTTATTTGATTATGTGCATGTAGAAAATTTATGTTTTTCTCTACTTGAACTGAATAAAATAAATTTAGATCCCATGCAAAATTCCAACTTTGTTTAAATGTTACCTTTTTTAGATCAACTTTCTGAATCTGATTCTTCTTCGTCCTCTGAAAAGAACTCTAGTTCTGGAATCTCCATCTCATTCTCTGGAGAAGGCAATGACAAGGACAAGGGTGGATCTGGTGGAAAGGTGGCCTTTGCAATTTCAACTCCTACTATATCTGGAAAAAAGAAATATGTACAATATATTACTAGTATTTTTCAAAATGAAAATGCTGATTTTTTTTTTCAAAGGTTATGTTTTTAATTCATTGTGTGATAATATTGCTATTTTAATTCTGTAGGCACTTATCACATGTACTTACCATTAATCTGAATGTCTTTCAACTGTTTTCCCTTGAACCTGTGTACTATGTTTAAATCTTGAATCAGAAGTAGTTTTGCAACTTCCACTAGCTCCAAAATATCAGATGTCTGACGGTAATGTTGCTTGTGGATGTTCATGGTGTGGCCTAGATGGTCAACGATCCACTGTCGTTCATTTTCAGTGGTATCTAAACTCTACAAAGAAATGTTAAAGCAAATGTTATTTGGTTTCATTTATAAAGTGTTTATAACCACATACCACAATTTGTTAGTTACTGATTTAAAATATATTGCAATTTACCTGCAGCATGTTTGCCATGTACTTTCTCATATTGATTGTTTTGATGAGGTTTGGGTTGGATAAGCCAGCAAGTTCACTAATACTTCTGATGGAATCATATGCACGGAAAACTCCAGCTTATATCAAAAGAAAAAAAAAATGAAAAGAACAAACTTTTCTTGTACTACAGATGTTTACCATATGCAATAAACATTTATTTACTGGAGACTTTATTTTTTTTTTTTTTAAATAACGATAGTTTATAAAAGTAATCAATTTTTTAATTTAAAAAAAAAATCAAATTTAAACTGCAAAAGCCTCAAAGAACTAAATCTCATTAGAGTTAATTTTGGCCCCTTAAAATTAATATCTAAATTTCACTTTATAATATATAGATCTTTGCAGGGTTTTACATATGTTCTTTATTGGTAATTTTCAATTTGATGAAAATGCCATTAGTTTAAGGGGTCCCGACCCTCTGCTATCAAATTTCACTCAGAAAATTTAATATTTCTAATGTTGATTTTCATGAACAACAATAACATTAGAGCCACATGGAAAATAGTGTGATGTAAGAAGCGCAGCTTATTTTTTTAGAAATGATTTTTATGTGAGATCATGATATGAAGAAATTTCAACATAGAGAACAGAAACAGTAACGATTTATTATCATAACACTTAATTTGAAATATGAGGTGTATATGAAAATAATACTTAGTATAATAACTATTGAAATCATGTCAGAAAACATCATGAAGCGATGCTTCCTAAGTCAGAAAATTACAATGTTGTATGTGGTTGTAAGAAAAAATACATATGTGAGGAGGAGTTATCTTTCTTCTAAAGATTTCTTCATGTGAAAAAAATGTCATACTTATAAAAATTTTGTATTAAAAATGTCATACTTATAAAAATTTTGTATTAAGTACTTGAAACATTAAACCATTATTAAAATGGTCTTTTAAAAAATACAACTTATTCAATTTAAAATGCTTTTGAAGTAGGATTTAAATGTTTTATTGTTAAATATAATAAAACAATTAGTAAGAGATTGGCAAAAGAAATAGAAAGTAATGTTTCCATTTCATGTTAGATTTCATCGAATTGACTACTCAGAGGTCTAAATTAGGAAACTCTGATTAAGAAATCTGTGAATAGTATTCATATTTTGTACTCTGACTGTCTCTGAGAGTTATCTGTCATATCAGAGGGTCGGCACCCCTTAAAATATGACATAAAGTTCACGTTTCCCGTCATTGAAGACACCTATATTGCTTTTTGGAGTCTTTTACTTAAAAAAAGGCGGATTTTTTTTAAATAGAAAAATAATGTTCAATGTTATGATAAAGTTTTTCTTCTTGAATAAATTGATGATTGTCATATATACAGTTGAAAACAAGTAAAATTTGGAGGGAGTCGTAAACGAAACATGATTTTTTTTTTGATAGACCGTATAAAACTGTGTTTACTGTACACCAATTTTTATTCGCGTGCGAGAAATATCTGCGAGTTCCGCGACCTCATTTAACTCGCGAATATTAATCGCCGCGAACCATTCATTTTGCTAAGGATTTGTAGAGAATGTCTCCTTGGTCGCTGAAATTAATCGTCGCGTACTGATTTTAGACTTACGGATCGCGAATAAAAGATGACGCGAATAATAGTTGGTTTACTAGTATTCTTTCAAAGCTCTTTAGTTTAACCGAGCCAGGCTATAATCAAAAAAGTTGATAATACAAGGATTTAATGAAGCATTTTGTATATTCACTGATTGGTATAATGACTTCTTTAGCAAACCTAACCTAACCTTTAACCTAACATTGTTTCTGATTTACATGTATTTCAAACCAAATTAATGTTTATCTTTTGTTTGCGGTCGATATTGGGCGTTCACTCCTTCAAGGCACCTGACCCCAGCCTTGGAATTCCAGCGGTCCATGTTTTCAGCCAACTTCACATATTTGTATTGTTTATCAATATATTTGAGATCAATCACTGATCGTTGAATTTGTCTTTTATAATAACATTTCACACAAAATTTGAAAAAAAATACAGTGAATTGATGATATTTGAATTTTGCCGGTAAGTTTATGTTACTTATAATGTGGCTCCCAGTAATACTAGTAAATCAATAATGCACGCGAAGCACAGAAAACTTCGGAAAATGCACAGAAAAGTGGAATAGTCAATTAAGAATTGTTCATATATATAATAGTTCCTTTATGTTATCAATATATTTTTATTTTTGCTTGCGACATTACAGTATATTTCAAATCCGAGTTTTTAGAAGAAGGGATAGAGGGGTTTAATCAATCTGCTCTTTCTTTACACAGGAGTTCGCGTACCTATCAATTATACCGAAATTTTTATTAAACAAGCTAATTCAGAGAATTTGTGTCCCCCGCTTAGGGAAAAAGTAAATAATGCAGAGTTCGGGGGAGGGGGGAGTCGGATCCCCCTGACTGAATTTGTAGAATAGTTAAATGTATAGATGTATACTGAAGCAAATAAAATATGGCAATATGGATATAAAGATTTGATTACTTATTCTTTATTATGTGTATAGAAGATTCTTTTTATATGGAATATTTAACACACTGTAATGATGATCTTATGAGTTTGTACAAGCCACACCTCATAAATTTTTCATTTCACATGCTGAATATTATTATTTAATTAAAAAAAGTATTTCGGGAAAAAAAAAGATAACGAATCGTCTGGGAATCGAATCCGGGACATCTCACATGTGAAGCGAGAGACATACCACTAGACCACGGGGCCGCTCTACAATGAGGCAAATGATATGCAATCATGAAGTCACATACATGTATATATTCATGTTCGGTATTATCAAAATTTTACACAATCCACGGTGTTTGTTTTATTTAGCCTTAATTAAACAGTTCTAATAGATGTACTAAGAACATAACGTCCGCCGAGAACCTGTTTTATACGCAATAACTCTCCTCATGCCCCTGTGCTAAAAATAGCGACATGTAATACTATAAATACTGATAAAACAAACGGGGCGGTGCACTTTGAAAGGGGTGAGAGAGGTCCTAGGGAGTTTTGATAGAGAATTACATTGCATAAGCTCAAAATCTTCTTGAAATATCGCCCGGAAATGATAGTGTTACACACAGAGAGAATGTATAAATTTACGACCTTGAACTTTGACCTTTTGACCTCAAAATCAATAGGGGTCTTCATTAGGCTACAGGGAGTTGTTATGTAAAATTTCATTGCAATAGCTCAAATGGTTCGTGAGATATCGTGTGGAAACGAAAGTGTTATAGCAGACAGAATTTGCTTATTTATGACCTTGACCTTTGACCTTTTGACCTCAAAATCAATAGGGGTCTTCTATAGTCCATAGGGAGTTGCTATGCTAAATTTCATTGCAAAAGCTCAAAGGGTTCTGGAGATATCGTGTGGAAACGAAAGCGTTACAGACAGACAGAAAGACGGACGGACAGACGGATAAACCCAAATTAATATCCCCCACTTTTCAAGCGGAGGACAATAAAAACAAGCTAATTCAGAGAATTCGTGTCCCCCGCTTAGGGAAAAAGTCGGCTCCCCCAGACTGAATTTGTAGAATTATTAAATGTATACATGTATACTGAAGGAAATAAAATACATGTATGTCAGTATGCATATAAAGATTTGATTGCTTATTCTTTATTATGTGTAATAGAAGATTTTTTTATATGGAATATTTATCACACTGTAATGATGATTTTATAACCTCATAAATTTTTCATTTCACATGCTGAATACTTTCATTTAGTAAAAAAAAAAAAGTATTTAAAAAAAAAAAAGAGAGAGAGGTTCGACCGTGATTTGATCCCGGGACCTCTCACATTTGAAGCGAGAGACATAACCACTAGACCACGGAGTCGCTTTACATGGAAAGAAGTATATGCAGAACTGACGTCACATACATGTATATATTCATGTTTTCATGTTCGGTATTCTAAAAATTTTACACAATCCATGGTGTTTGATTTATTTAGCCTTTATTAAACAGTTCTAATAGATGTAATAAGAACATAAAGTCCGCCGAGAACCTGTTTTATACGCAATAACTCTCCTCATGCCCCTGAGCTAAAAATAGCGACATGTAATACTATAAATACTAATAAAACAAACGGGGCGGGGCACTTTGAGAGGGGCTAGAGACGTCCTAGGGAGTTTTGGTATAAAATTACATTGCATAAGCTCAAAATCTTCTTGAAATATCGCCCGGAAATGATAGTGTTACACACAGACAGAATGTATAAATTTACGACCTTGAACTTTGACCTTTTGACCTCAAAATCAATAGGGGTCTTCTTTAGGCCACAGGGAGTTGTTATGTAAAATTTCATTGCAATAGCTCAAATGGTTCTAGGGATATCGTGTGGAAACGAAAGTGTTTTAACAGACAGAATTTGCTTATTTATGACCTTGACCTTTGATCTTTTGACCTCAAAATCAATAGGGGTCTTCTTTAGTCCATAGGGAGTTGCTTTGCTAAATTTCATTGCAAAAGCTCAAAGGGTTCTCGAGATATCGTGTGGAAACGAAAGCGTTACAGACAGACAGAAAGACGGACGGACGGACGGACGGACGGACGGACAAACCCAAATTAATATCCCCCACTTTTCAAGCGGGGGACAAAAAAAACGTAATGCGTATAATAATATAGTGTTATTATTATAGGTATTACGTATCTTTTTTATTTACCGAAAATTTCGGCAAAATTGATAGGTACGCGAACTCCTGTGGTTCTTTATGGACTACCTCACAGTCATTTGTGGCCTTGGTCAACTCGGTCAAACACCGATGAAATGATTGGATGAATACAGATAAGGGTCAAACTAGATCACGAGATCCCAAATGAAGCATGTTATTTATTTAGGGATTTCTATTAATCTGAAAGTTATCAAGCGCACTTTAACAGTATGCAGGAAGTAGACAACTGGTTTGGAGCACGCGTAGTCTCCATATCCAGGAAAACCCACTTTTAATATAGTCACATGAAAGAAAAACACTTTTCAACAGACTTAGGATCATTCATGTATGTATGTGTTTACTTAAATACATTGAGATGTTATGAAAGTATCAATACATTAACGATAACACATATCGTAATATAATTGAAATGTTTTAGAACTGATTTTATTGAGTAAGATTACCTTAATTCATATCCAGGAAGTCGTCAATACTAAATAGGCTAATTTTGTTTAGTTTCTCTCTTATGTAATCTTTTTTCTCTATAACAGTACTCGCTTCAAAATAAAACAATATTTTTATTTAATTGGAATTTAATTTACTAGAATTTAATCATTTCAGGTGTCAAATACCAAAGCCATAAGACATGGCACATGCTAGTTTTACTTCTGAGGATGACCAGTTGCGAGATAAATGCTTTTTGTCCCACTTTGCAGAAATTTTATCAAAGGTGAACAACGATGGGAATAAAGTGTTTATAGATGCATTGTCACTCATGGAGTTTACTTGTCTAAAACTACATCATGATGAAATAGCAGGTGGACTATATTCTGAGTGTCACTATGTAGGTTCAGTGGGGGAAGGCATCTCAGGTTTAGATATTTTTTCAAACAATTCAGATATAGACATAATGTTTGTGATGAAATCAGTACATGTAGTTGAAAGACGTCCGATAAAAACAAATAAAAAATGCGAACAACTTCTGAAGATGATCGACGCTGATACGACACCTGGTTATGTCAAACTGAAAATACTAGAAAATGAAATTGATGAAAACAATGCGATGAAAGAAGACGAATTCCTTCCTAACTCGATTGTACAAAAAACTTTCCAAGCATATGGCAATGCATCGAACGCTGGACTACTGAGCCGCATGGTTGAACTTCTTGGAGATAAAATGACCATCAATTGGTTTGTTAACGGTCCTTCTTGTTCAACAAATTTGGAAACAGGCAATCGAAACATACTGACAAATAGATTAGTATGGATCGAGTCTGTAGATTGTGTTATAGGATTAAAATGTAACGAATGGCCTGAAATAGCTGACGAATGGATCGAAAGAAACAGAGAGTACAACTGGCCTTCAGGAGACCTCATAGAAAAAGCAGTTTCTTTGGGATGCTATGTTGTCCCAATTGGTGGTCGTCAGAGTATAACTCAGGACCTCGAATGGCGCATATCTTTTGTTCTAGCAGAAAGACTTCTGGTTCGAAATATGAAATACATGCAACTTTTCGTATATTCCTTGTTAAAATCTATCAGAAAGGAGATATTTGGGGAATTTTCCATTATAATATCGTCCTACATTATTAAAACGGTTGTTTTTTGGGTAATGGAAGAAAACGACGCACCATCCTGGAAACCAGAGCATGTGCTTAACTATGTCCAAATCTGTTTTCAAAAATTGTTGGAATTTTTAGAAGACGATTTTTGTCCTAATTACTTCATGAGAAAATGTAATTTGTTCCATTTGAAATATTCTGATAATGAAAAAATACGTTAATTCGTTTAGTCAAAGAATTTATAACGTCTCCAAATTTTTTGAGATCGTTGTGTTCTCTTAATGCTATAGAAAACGTTCGAAGAAACATATACGGTTTATGTCGTATACCGGTAATATTTAGTACTTATATGAACTATGTAAAAGATATCCGCGATACTTTGGTTTTTAGATATATTTCAGAAGATGTAATTAATCGTTTTGCAGACAGCATGGTTAATCGTTCAGAGGAGTCGGATGCTAATATTGCTATTAAATCCATAACTTTGGTACTCAAAGCTATGAAAAAGAACAAAGAAAATTTCTCACCCCTTCTGAAAGAGACAATCACAGGACATTTTTCTTGCTTGCAGATTCGCTCTGTGTGCGCTGCGACTCATCACAATAAGAAGGCTTTGTCTGAGCCATTTACACTTCAACAGCGATTTGATGTTGTTCATTATTTGATTGAAAATTCGAAGTTGAAGGTAGAAAGTCTTACTTTTGGAGAAGTTGCACAACTAGCCCATGTATTTTTTTCGTTTGGATGTATCAGGAATTGTTTGGATATATTAACGCCAGCGCTGGATAATATGATAAAAACACCACAAACTAGAGGTACTGTGAGCGATGAGCTCACTAAATGATACCCCCCGCCTCCCCTATGGTTATAAGTGGTGAAAAAGTCCATGTTTTCCTGTGGCCGGGAAACCCAAAATATGTGTCGGATCAAAAAGTAAAATAGGAGGTGCACAATGGCAATATGTAATAAAGATTCTGTGAAAGTTTCATCAAATTTCATTCAGTGGTATGAGAGGAGTTACGGATAAGAGATGGGTACCCCAAAGCGTAACAGACGGACGGACAGACAGACAGACGGACGGACGGACGGACGGACGTACAGACGGACGGACGGACGGACGGACGGAATTAACGATTACTATATACCCTCCCGCTTTTCAAGCGGGGGGTATAATAAGAATAGATAACTTCATGTCAATATTTGAAATCACAGCCTCATCTTTATTCACTTCTGAAGGAAACGTGGCTCTAACTTCGCCATATCGCCCAATGCTACTTATACAACTCTATCCATTTGAATTTCAAATGCTTACTAAGGACATTCAAATTGAAATGCTGGCATTGAAAATACAGCAAGACTTTTACTCAGAGGTGTTGAAACCTGGATTTACATTTAAAGTTACCGTGGACCCCGTGGTTTACGCTTGTTATTTGAAATTCAAATGTCTTCGCAATTTAGGAGACAACATTGGATCGTGCGTTGCCCTAAACCTGTTTGGAGAATTTGTACTCCAAAAAGTATCACATCGGTACATTGCTCTGAGTCTTCTCGGATGCTGCTTAAATGAAAATGGGTATACTGATAAAGCCTTTAAAATGTTTGCTCGGTCTTTCCGCGAGAATAAAGGAAGATTAGCAACACTTTACCATGTGGCAATAATGCTCAACTGTGAATTTGCTACATACATGTAAGTTACTAGTGAATATCTTGAAATAAAAACCCATTAAAATAAATTGAGCTTACGAAAAAGATGCCGTCGATGGATATACAGAACTTTATATAAATTCTAGTACGGAAAGTGTACACCCATGAAGATAAGATTAATATTTGCTATAGCAAGACAGAAAAGTGCCAAATGTTTAGTATTAAAGAGTAAATGAAGTGTGCATTTCGATGCTAAAAGCTGTGATTTGTAAAAGTTGGCAATTATGTTTCATTTACAACTTTTTAAGATCTTGAATATTGCAACAATGCCTCTGGCAAGTCAAACTTTGAAACATTTGAGCATTTGTATTGTGTGATTTCCATTCGTATTGTTATTTTTCCATTTGTATTGTAATTTTTCCCATTTGTATTGTAATTTCCATTTGTATTGTATAATTATGTATTGTATGTTTTATATGTTTTGTACAAATCTCCTTGCATTTTATTATATTGATTTCCTATTTGAATTATTTAACATTTTATTCTACTACATTTTTAAATTATACCCCCGCTTGAAAAGCGGGAGGGTATATAGTAATAGGTATGTCCATCCGTCTGTCTGTTACGCTTTGGGGGTACCTATCTCTTATCCGCAACTCTCTCAAACCACTGAATGAAATTTAATGAGACTTTCACAGAATCTTTGTCATACGTATAGTGACATTGTGCACCTCATATTTCACTTTTTGATTTGACACACATTTTGGGTTTCCAGAGCAAATCATGACACTGCCATTTTTTCTATATTATTGAAGGGTGCCCATTTCTTATCCACAACTCCTCCTATACCACAGAATAAAATTAAATGATACTTTCACAGATTCTTTATTACATAATTTCATTGTGCACCTCCTATTTTAGTTTTTGATCTGACTCTTATTTCGGGTCTACAAGAGCAAAACAGGGACGTTGTCTTTATAATCATATGGGAGGCGGGGGTATCATTTAGTGAGCTTGTTGCTCACAATATCTCTAGTTTTAATTGTATAAATTTTTATTTGTATTATAAGATAATTGTTTTATTTGTGTCCTGTCTGATTATACGATGCAAATGGAAAAGATCGAATATTCAACATTTGACATGATATACTGTAAATCATTTTTTTTATTCGCGAGAACTTTATTTTTGCGTAATTACGCGAGACAGTGTAATCGCAAAAAAATCATTCTCGTGTATATTATTATTATTAAAGATTTTATATAGCAATAACCATAATTTTGTTTCGCTATTAAAGAGACAATGACTATCTCGCGAAAATAAAGTTTTGCGAAAATATAGTGATTTACAGTACATGCATGGGCTAGTTGTGCAACTTCTCCAAAGGTAAGATGCTCTACCTGCAACTTTGCATTTTCAATTAAATCATGAACAACATTAAATCGCTGTTGAAGTGTAAAGTGCTCCGACGAATCCTGCATGTTGAGATAACATCCTTTTGTATTTGTATTGTTTACTCTAAAGTTGACATGAAAAATGCTTAAGTTTCTGATTGACAATATCGATGAGGTTTTAGGAGTCCAGATCTTCCAGTTATAAATTTCTTGCCAGATACATCACATTTTGTGAGTGCAGAAAGGTCAAATAATTGGTTTGAACATATTCTATTGTATAAATACTATACAAATGGTTCTAACAACTTACTAGGTTCTCACCATACAACTGTCAATATATATACATAGGGAAAATAAGTGAAAAGGAATATTGATGTACAAACAAGTTTGTTAAATTGAAACATACATTTGTTACATATGATAAATATATAATTATATAGAGTGTAAGTGTTAGGCAGTAATAATTAATTAAAGTCAAATAATTGATTATGCGAAGCAATTTGAAACTTTTTCTTAGTCACAATTTAAAAGTGTATTTTTTAAAATAGACTTATAGTTTATAGTTTATTTTGTTCCATGCTTTATTTGGATGAAAATATTTGAGGGAAAACGTTGAAGATGTAATTTTTTATTGAGACACAGATTTCAGTGCAAAAAGGTACTGTAGCGCTAAAAAATGCAAATTGACCCCATATTTTGATTTGATTTTTAATTAGGCTTTGTGTGTAGAAAGTAAAAATATACTAGATATGTAAAGTTAGCTACTAGTAACTGGCTACGACAAGTGGTAAAGTTAGCTACTAGTAGCTGGCTACGAGAAGAAAGTTAAGTTGGCTACTAGTAACTGGCTACTAGTAGCGAGCTACGACAAATGGTAAAGTTAGCTACTAGTAGCTGGTTACAATAAGTAAATAAAGTTGGCTATTAGTAATTGGCTACCAGTAACTGACTTGAACATTCTAGTAGTCTAACTTTTGTATTAAACTATGCTAATTTGGGAGAAATTATCTGGCACTAAAGTTACCAAGATATCTTTATTAATAAACTCAGCTACTAGTACCATTAAAGGTGTGCAATTTTGGGAGATAAATGTTGTTATTATACAAATAACTGGATTTTTACACCGCTGATATCCACTGATATTGTTGATAAAAACAATCTCTGAGCTTTTCCACATGATCTGGCACTAAAGTTAACAAGATATCGTTAGTAATAAACTCAGCTACTAGTACCTTTTGTTTAAAATTCTGCAATTTTGTGAGACAAAAGTTGATATTCCAGAAGTAGCTGGATATTTACACCGCTGATATCAACTGATATTGTTGATAAAAACAATCTATGAGCTTTTCAACATGATCTGGCACTAAAGTTACCAAGATATCGTTATTAATAAACTCAGCTACTAACATGTTTAAAACTACACTATGATCAATCAACAGGTGGGCCATATTCTGAGTGTCACTTTGTAGGTTCCGGAGGAGAAGGCATTGCAGGTTTAGATATTTTTTCAAACAACTCAGATCTAGACATTATGTTTGTGATGAAATCAGTGCATGTAGTTCAAAGACATCCAATGAAAGCAAATGAAAACTGCGAACAACTTCTCGAGATGAACGATGTTGATACAATGCTAGGGAAGGAAACTAATAAAAGCTCTGCGATAAAAAAAGATGAATTCCTTCTCAACTCATTTATACGAAACGCTTTCAAAGCATATAGCACCGCATCTAATGCCAGACTCCAAAGCCGCATGTCCGAACTTCTCGGAAATAAAATGAACATAAGCTGGTTTGACAATGGTCCTTCTTGTTCAACAAATTTGGAAGCGGGGAAACCAAAATATACTGACAAATAGAACGATATGGATCAAATCTTTGGACTTTGTTATAGGATTAAAATGTAATGAATGGCCTGAAATAGCTGACGAATGGATTGAAAGAAACAGAGAGTACAACTGGCCCTCAGGAGATCTCATAGAAAAAGCAGTTGCCTTAGGATGCTATGTAGTGCCAATCGGTGGTCGTCAAAGCATTACTGAAGACCTCGAGTGGCGCATATCTTTTGTTCTAGCAGAAAGACTTCTGGTTCGAAATATGAACTGTATGCAACTTTTCGTGTATTCCTTGTTAAAATCTATCAGAAATGAGATATTTGGGGAATTTTCCAGTATAATATCGTCCTACATTATTAAAACGGTTGTTTTTTGGGTAATGGAAGAAAGCGGTGTACCATCCTGGAAACCAGAGCATGTGCTTCACTATGTCCAAATCTGTTTTCAAAAATTATTGGAATTTTTAGAAGATGATTTTTGCCCAAATTACTTTATGAGAAGGTTACCATGGACCCCGTGGTATACGCTTGTTATATGCAATTCAAATGTCATCGCATTTTAGGAGACAACATAGGATCATGCGTTGCCCTAAGACTGTTTGGAGAATTTGTACTCAGAAAAGTATCACATCGGTACATTGCTCTGAGTCTTCTTTGGTGCTGCTTAAATGAAAATGGATACCCGGAAGAAGCCGTTAAAATGTTTGCTCGATCTTTCCGCGAGAAGAAAGAAAGATTAGCAACTCTTTACCATTTGGCAATAATGCTCAACCGTGAATTTGCTAAATAGGTTACTAGTGAATATCTTAAAATAAAAACAAATTGAGTTGTAATTTGATGCGGTCGATAAATACAATATCAATGCTAATGTTACATTAATTCTTATACGAAAAATGTTTACCCATCAATATAAGACTAATTTTTGCTACAGCAAAATGGAAAAAAGAAGGGCCAAATATATATTATTAAATGATAAATGAAGTGTTTATAAATGAAAGTATGCTTAAAGTTGTGCTATGTAAAAATTGGCAGTTCTGTTTCATATGTATACAATTTTTTAATCTTGAATGTTGCAAAAAATGCCTCTAGTAAGTCAAACGTTGAAATATTTGATCCTTTGTATTGTTTAATTTCTATTTGTATTATAAAATTTCCATTTGTATTGTAATTAAATTTTTTCCATTTGTATTGTATAATTTTATATGTTTTGTATAAATTTCCTTGTATTTTATGATTTTCTATTTGAATAGTAATGGAACCTTTTATTCTGCATTTTTAATTTTAATTGTATAAATTCTTATTTGTATAATAAGGTAATTTTTTCATTGTTTCGTTCCTGACCTTTTTCATTCAACTTTGAAATATAATTTTTGTTGTGAAATATTATTTGGAACTTTTCTTTCATATCCCGAAAGTCTATCTAGGAATTACTCCACATTCAGGCGAGTAGCCAGAATGGAGTTAAGTGTTCGTAGAGAACGACAGGAGATCAAGGGGGGGGGGGGTGTTGATCGAGGCCCCTGGTAGGTCCAGCGCTGGTAGCTCCTTGGTTTTACCAAATATTTCAATCAGTTTCTTGCAGGATATATTATGTTATTTGAAGATTTATGTCTTTCAAACAAATTATCCCTATAGAGTACTCAAAATATGCTGGCTGCACAAGATCAGCAGTATCAGAGTATGGAGAGTTGTATGAAAAAACAACTGTCATATCCGACCAAATAGAGAAAAGCGATGGAAATGTAACGTGATAAAAATGGAAACATAAGATATACCACGAGTATAATTGAATTGGTGTATTTTGATAAGAATATTTTCCTGGTTTCCACAAATGTACCGCTTTGAAGAAAATGGGTGGTAGCAGGTGTCATGGAGGAGTTATATAAGCATCCTCTTTCAACTTGTCATTCATGCTGTGTGCTCCTTGTCATGACAAGGTAAACAGGGAAATCTGCACAATACATTGTGAAAACAAATACAGTGTGTTGGCTTGCATAAGAATGTATGGGCACAATACAATGTGTGCTACTAACCCGACGTTATCAGATACTTACCACTAAACAAACCAAACCTGATCATCCACACATTATTGAAACTAACTTATACCAGGTATTTTGACTTTTTATCTCATTTGAACTTAACCATTTGAGAAGATCAAATGTATTAAGAAAAAAGATTGTGTATAAACTCTTCGGATTCATTATCTGATCGAAGCCATTCATGTAATGTATGTATAACTGTTTTTTTTTTCAGTTTTAATGTTATGAATTTTGTTAACAAACCCTGAAATAATTTTTATTTTAAACAGAAAAAAGAAATAGAAAACAATCCCATGATACAATTAAAGTGAAAATAGAAAGCTGCCAATGATTAAAGACTTAAACAAATACAATTACATTAAAATATTTGAATGTATTTACTTAAAAATCATGGGAAAATTAATTAAATCAAAATATATTGTTTATCTTAAAATACAAGGTAGGTTTGAACCTCGGCCGCGACTGACCTTAGTCGAAATAAAAAACTGTAGAAGCACAAACTATTTTGTTGATTTGTCATATAAAATAGTTTCATGGGCATTTAATTTCGTTGTTTTGAAATTCGCCCTATTCTATAGATAGTCATTAAAAAAAATTTCGTTGAGATTTAATTTCGTTGATAATTGTTAACAACGAAATACTGTAAAATCACATAATTTTGAGGGGTCAAATTTTCATGGTTTGGGGAAAATATATTGGTTTGTGAGAATCTGATTTCGTGGTGTAAAAATTGTTCAGTAGTAATATATGTGAAAAATTGGAATTCGTGGTGGACATTAATTAATTCTTGGGTCTCTTCATACCTTGAAAATAAAAGAAAATTAAACTCCACGAAAGTAAGTGTTTTCACGGTAAACGAAATTGACTAAAGCACTAAGCAATCATGTGATTAATTGTTCACATATTCCGTAAACTGAAGATAAAGAAAAGTGATCCTTGTAAGCAATATAAATTGTAAACAGGGCATAAAAAGATACCTGGCAACACCAGAATTGTAATCAGTTGCTTACGGGAAGTAATTATCCCCCTATCGACCGCTCAAACCCGCTGTCAGATTGCTCGCTGTATTGATCAAATATTTATGTTGTTAATCTTCACTTGATATGAATCTTTTAACTTTTAGTAATACAACCTAAAGATTATCTTGATAGATTGTATTTTGTTAATACGGTTATTAACGAATGTAAAATTTGTAAAAACGACTTCATCTCCTGTGTTTTCAAGTCCAGTTATTTGCTGGTTATATATATTTATAAAAACATCTTAACATGAAACCAGTATGATACATGTAGATCATGCGGTGTCATATCTTCAGTTTATTGGGATATCAATTCAACGTAATGAATAAGTAGGCCTTGATAAAACGTTGCCGATATGTCTAAAAATCGACCTTTTCATAAAGAATTTTCTTCTAATGACACAACTCTTAGTAAGGCAGGATAATTATTTCATTTGTTCGTTATGACCTCCTTCTCTCTCTCTCTCTCTCTCACGTAGCTGATTGAAATATAAAAAAAGAATTTCTCACACATTCCTCTTGGAGATTCTTGGTTTGGATTCCAAATTTTTTATATAATAATTTGTTTTTACCATTTCGGCTTTGAAATATGCTTTTAAATTTATATATCTCTGCTTATGCTCCAATATCACTTTCAAGGTATAGATTATATTATAATATCCTATGAGTATATAACAATATCCTATTTGAAGAAGAACAAGTGATCTTCCTTTACAATTTTTTTGCGAAAATTAAAAAAGTTCTATTGTGTAAAGCAACCTAGAAGGTTAAGCGCTGTTGAATTTTGTTTATGCATCTGGATTTTTTCGTTACTACTTATAAATTTAATCTCACAAATCATTTCAGATGTCAAATACTAAACCAACAACAATGGAATGTGATACACCCAAGGATACATTTTTATCCCACTTAGCTAAATTCTTATCCGAGGTGAACAAAAATGGGACTAAAATACACATAGACGCAATGTCACTTATAGAGTTTACATTTATGAAAATACACCATGATCAATTCCCAAGGGAAATATTTTCTGAGTGTCACGTCGTGGGTTCAGCTGGAGAAGGCATAACAGGTTTAGATATTTTTACAAACAATTCCATATATAGATGCCATGCTTGTGATGAAGACAATGACTGTGATTGAAAGACATCCAGGAACACCAAATGAAAAATGCAAACTACTTTTAAGGATGAATAACACTGATACAATTCCTGGTTATGTTAAACTGAAATACTAAAAACTGAAACTGGTGAAAATACTAGTAATAGGAAGGCTGAAGATGAATTCCTTCCTAACACACTATTTCGAGACTCTTTTCAAAGGCATGGAAACCCATGTAATGCCAAGCTTCTAAGCCAAATGATGGAACTTCTTGGAATTCCTGGAGATAGAATAAAAGTTAACTACTTTGTCAATGGTCCATCTTGTTCAGCGAATGTTGAAACAAAAGATCGAAATATACTAACGAGAAAATTAGTATGGATGGAGTCTGTAGACTCTGTTATAGGACTAAAATGTAACGAATGGCCTGAAATAGCTGAAGAATGGATTGAAAGAAGCAGAGAGTACAACTGGCCTTCAGGAGACCTCATAGAAAAAGCAATCTCTTTAGGATGCTATGTGGTCCCTATCGGTGGTCGTCAAAGTATTTCGAAAGACTTCGAATGGTGCATATCTTTTGTTCTAGCAGAAAGACTTCTGATTCGAAATATGAATTCTATTCAACGTTTCATTTATTCTGTTCTAAAATCGATCAGGAAGGAGATATTTGGGGAGTTTTCCGTTATAATTTCATCTTACATAATTAAAACAATTATACTTTGGGTAATGGAAGAAAACGATACGTCCTCTCTTCAACCGAAGAATGTAATAGAATATGTCCAAGAATGTTTTCAAAAATTGTTGGAATTCTTAAAAGACGATTTTTGTCCAAATTACTTTATGAGAAAATGTAATTTGTTCCATCTAAAATATTCTGAAAATGAGAAAAGTGACCTTAGTAGTTTAGTAAGAGATTTTGTATTGTCTCCAAATTTTCCGGAAATCTTGTGTTTTTTACAACCAATAGGAAATCTTCGACGTAGCCTATGCAGCGTATGTCAATTATCCGGACTAACTGGTAGCATTTTTAATTTTGGAAGAGAACTTTTCGACACTTTACTATTTAAATATCAATTAGAAGAACCAATCAATCGTTTTGTAGACAGCATCGTTAATGGTTCAGAAGAGTCTGATGCTAATGTTGCTGTTAAATCAATTAATGTGATATTGGAAACTCTGAAAGCAAACAGGGATAATTTTTCACCCCTTCTGCAGGAGACACTAACTGGAGTTTTGTCTTGCATGCAGATCCGCGCTGTATGCGCCGCATCTTTTCATAAGATGCAGACTTCATCTGAGCCTTTTTCACTTGAAGAAAGATTTAATGTTGTTAATTATTTAATTAAAAGTGCGAACTTGAAGGTAGAAAATCTGAGTGTCAGTGAAGTTGCACAGCTAGCCCATGTATTCTTTTCATTTGGATGTATTCAAGACTGTTTGCATCTGTTTATGTTGACGCTGGATAGTTTAAAATCAACATCTCATATCAAAGTGGACAATGTTATGTCAATATTTGACGTTGCAGCCTCATTTTTATTCCATTTTCAAGAAAATAAAGCTGAAAATTGGCTGTGTCGACCAGTAATACTTACTAAACTTTACCCTTTTGAATTTCCTATGCTGACAAAGGATATTCAGGTCGAAATGCAGGCACTGAAAATACAACAAAATGTTTATTCAGAATTGTTAAAACGTAAATTAACTTTCAAAGTCACACTTGATCCTCTTGTTTACATTTGTTACATGAAATTCAAATGTCATCGCTTGTTAGAAGACAACATAGGGTCATGTTTTACCTTAAAAGAGTTTGGAGATATCGTACACAAAAAAGTATCTCATCGGTCTATTGCGTTGAGTCTTCTTGGGTGCTGCTTAAAAGAAAATGGACGTGTGGAAGAAGCCATTTTAATGTTTTATCGGTCTTTCTTGAGGACAAGGAGAGATTGGCAACACTCTACCATGTGGCAATAATGCTTAAAGATGAATTCGCTAAATAAGTTAATTTTTTGGACTTTTCATGTCCATCCCTGAAAGGTTATTAGTCTGAATTGTACATGCAATACCTGTGAAACAAATAAGTCGATGAAAACCATTAAGGAATGGTTAAAGGATATTCTATTGGTTAAAAAATAAAAAGTAGAACTGTTATTGGTGTAAGATTATTTTTTATACACTCCTCCTCACTTCTCCATGCCCATGGCACCTGATCCCACCTATGATGTTTTGGATGCGGATCCTTATTTGCACTGCTCCTATTTTGTATGGTTAAATGGACTTTTGAGCTTGAATACTGTTTGTTATCTCCAGATATTGCAAACAGCAATAATAATGAAATTACTAACTACTTGGAAGAGTGTGCAATGTAGATTAATTTTATATCATTGTGTAGACCATGTTTATAAATAAAAAAAAATATTCTATTGATATTGCTTGAGTTTTTTGGTGAAAAAATATACATGTAATTGTACATGTCTTCTTGATTTGAGAGGGTTTAGAGGTAACTTGGGTATGAACTTATCCTGGTCACTCATTTAGAAAATGTAAATCAAATCTAGCATCCTTAGCAAGTGCAGAAGAATACATCCTTAGATGTATCGTATATGCAAGTTTGGCCCAGGTAAGGCAAATAACACTTACGAAATAACTGCTTCAAAAAGTTTAAATTGGTCTCTCATCTCAAAATGTTGGTCAAATCCAGCATCTGAAGCGATTCTAAAAGTCTGCTCCTTAGAGGTATGATATTATCTTTGCAAGTTTGGTCCATGCTCCAGAACTTTTAACCTGGTCACTCAGCACCCATTAAAGGAAGCAACGAATTGTGCAGCCTTTTTTAATCATCAATGCAAGTTTAGTCAACATACCGGTATGCTTTAATTTGTTTAAGTAACTTTGGAATGAATCTGCTCCAAAAATTTTAACCTGGTCACTCAAAAGGAAAGCCAGATCCATCATCTGAACCAAGCCTGGTATGTACATCCTTAGATTATCATCCATGCAAGTTTGGTAAATATAAGGCTCATTGCGAAACTTTAGGGGAAATTGCTCCAGAACTTTATCCAAGTCACTCATCTGGAAAATGTAGGTCATATCTAAAAGGCTCCGAAACATTAACCTAGCTGGTCACTCACCCGGAAAATGCTGGTCAGATCCAGTATCCGAAGCAGGCCTGGAGAGTGCATCCTTAGATGAAGTATCATCCATGCAAGTTTGGTCAACATAGGGCGAATAGCGCAGTTACAGTATTAGGATATTGGACCTGGTCCAAGAACTTTAACCTGCTTTAAAAAATTCAACCTGTTCCAAAACAGTAACCCTGGCATATTTTACCTGAAATTGCACTATCTAAAACTTTGACTTGTACAATAAAATCATCCGTGTTCTTAATGAAAAAAAAGACATAGGAGGGTTGAAGTGGTGATTTGAGGAATGGGCGAATAGAAAATTTTGTTGATGAAATAACTGTTGAGTACAAATGAGACATTGTAATAAAGTTGTGTCCCCGAAATCGAAGATTGTGTCTGTTTGTCCTAAAAAAGACTAACTTTAACCATAACTTTAGATTGGTTGGAGTTGAGGCTTTTATATTTCACGAGTTCATTCCTTGCGACAAGGCTTATCATTGGTACTTATATGTTTGACCTCTTGAATTTGATCTTGGAGTTTGATCCATTTTTACAAAAAATCACCAAACTTCCTTGATCGTAACTTAGGAACATTTGGTACAACATCGTCGCAAACCTCGGCCAAAATGTGCGATCCTCTCCCATTTGTGGTTGCATGAGAAGAGAATATTTCGTACTTCATTAAAATATTGATCAATGTGAGTAAAGCATAGACGGAAAATGAACTTTGTCGCGACCTTTCAACAGCCAATCACAATGAACGAAATATTTTTTGTTTACTGATGATGTCAATGTTGATTTCAATTACGATGGAAACAAATATTGTCATTGGCTGAACATGATGTCACAGCATAGAGGTGTAAATATTCAAGATTACGACACTTTATGTGATCAAGCAGCCACGGGTAGGAGAGAGCTACATGCGGACTCCCTGGCTTGAGACGATGTTGGTACAAGGGCTTCAAACATATATTCCATGTGACAATATCTTTTCATTAATAATTTTTTTCCTTTCGACCTTGACCTTTGAGTTTGACCCACTTAAAAAAATACTTTGGCTTTAACTTTTGAATATGGTCGGTGCTTGAGCTTACATATTTCACAAGAATATTCATTGAGAAAGTCATTTTTGGGTGTCACAAAATGTTTTATCTCTTGACATAGGCCTTGGAGTTTGACTTGCATTAAAAGAAACCTTTACCTTTGTCATAAGATACCATACGGTGTTTCTTTTTAAAAAAGCTTGTTTGAAATTGCATTTGGGACTCATGACTCATGAGGAGTGGGTAATATTATGATATGAGATATCCTAGTTTGAGATCTCTCTCAGGATTACATTCTGGACGGTTGAATAGGACAGTTTCTGAAGAAAAGTCAAGATTGGAGGGGAATAAGAAGATCAATATAATAATCTAAAATGGAATTTAGATTATTACTTCCGTATATAAATGTAAATAAGTTGTCTTTGTTAGGTACTGAGAAGTTATTTAAGCTTTCCTACGATGCATATTTTAGCAAGTTGCTCAGTTTGGATCGAGAATTATTTTAACTTAAATTAATTTTGTTACGTCTACTCGATTACACATATTTCAGATCTATTAGTAGAATAGAAATAAAGTCCTTGTTGTAGTGAATATAAACCTACTCTTCTCGAAATGTTGTTTGAAATAGCCTCGGCTTTTATATTTCAAACAACATTTCGGGACCGGGATGATTATCTTGCGCGATATCGCAGACTTTATTTCTTAAGGTTCATAAACCCTCTGCTCACTCATATGAAATTTTTCTTTAACTTTTATGATTTTCCAAAGGAAATGTATGTGCTGAATAGAATATAAACAATTATAGCATGGCTTGCGGGGCAAAATTTGACAAAAAAGGTACTTAAACTTGACAAATTTATAAAGGAATAATAGACATTTGTGACATTAAGAGTTATCTCTCTTATCAGATTATCAATGTACCTTACATAAATGGCAACACAGGTTTAAACATTAAGCATGTTATATTATCAAAAAATAAATATTTCTAACTTTCTTTCCGACTCATGGCCCTGCAAAATCAAAGTACAAAACCTCAGCAATTTACATGTGTATACAATAATCAAGTATTCATATAATAATATAAAACACTAATCATAAATAAAATAGTCTCTCACTAATTAATACAAAAAATTTGCGCGTATCTTAACGCATTGACTCAATATCGTTGTAGTTTTTAATGTTTTAAAATACATAAGTTTGATTTATAAAGTGGTCTCCACTGAATCTATCTAATTATGAAAGTTTATCAATAAAATTAAAGTAATTTACACTTACATTTACAAATTACGTTTAGCAATCCGCTTACCAAAATAATGGAATTTAGGCTCTTCAATAAGTATTATCTGGAAATTTACTAAATGCTCTGCTGTTCTAAAAAGAATCAAAAATGCAAGTTTTTAATCACTGGAAATACAGAAATGCAGAAATCTCATCCTGAAACAAGATTAAAAAAACAAAAAAAAAAAACAAACCAAAACCCATGACTGAAAATCCAAAAGCCCCCAAACTATAAACTCATAATACACAACCTGTTGGTACAAAAGCACGGGACAAAAGTTACCAATACCTCAGAAAAATTCAAAAACCTGTGCATGGTCACCAGTCATGTGATAGGTCTGTACCAATCGCTCAACAGAGTTTTGGCGGGAAAATAATTAATTCAACAAAATTGTAAAATGAATTAACACAGACACTTTTAATAACTTTGTAATGAAACATGTTTGGAAAACTTACATTTACCTGCCTATATTCATAATTATAAGTGCATAAAAATGAGAAACATAATTTTAAAGTTATATACAAATCTCTGATAATCTACATATAGAGCCCCCCCCCCCCCCCCCGCATCCTTTTCCTAGTATTTTCCAAAACATCTCTCATTTTCCATTTTTCATTATAACATTTGATATGCCAGGAAACATCAAATATAAAAATTCTTTTAACAGGCCTGGAAATTCGCTTACTAATCTTTCAGGACAATTTATTGTGCGACTGTTCAATAACTTCCGGTAAAAGTGAAAGTAGAAAATGAACTGCTAGAGACGAATTGACAACGTGCAAAAAATGAAAAAAATCTTTGATTCAACAATTATGTTTATCAGTTTTATATTTTAATTTTTAAAATCATTTAATTTCAAGCTTTTATTTCCAGTTTATTATATTTACGTTGTCAAATCTGAACGAAGCGGACGCAAACTTGCAGCATGTGCTCTTTGGAAACCCATGGATTTATGTTTTTGTCATGAGACAAACACTTTTTACATACTATAACATAATTTTATGTGAAATTTCGACACAATGATTTAACATGATGACTTCTGATTTCGTTCATTCATGAACAGGGAACATGTATCGACTAAGCTGAAGGAATACCATGGATCGTGTGAGGAAAAGGAAACTTTCGGGAACAGGAAACCAATTAGATCCAAGCTCAAAACAAAAAATAAAAACTTTGTTTTATAAAAAATTTAAATACAACAGAGTTAACAAGTGGCATTTACCATCATTGTTTAAAAAAGAAGGTCAAAAATGGACACATCCAGTTCTTCAGAGTTTGAAGGAGAAACTAAACTGTGTGAAAGACAAGTTGAGTGATAAGGAAATTTATTCATGGCATGAACACACAAAATTCATGAACATTGCTGGCAGTGTAATATCAACTGTGAAACAAGTGATCCGTCCTGAACTGTGTACTCAAGCATGGTGCAAGTTTTATGAAATTCTTTCAGCTTATCCATTGATAAATCAAAACATTGCAAATCTGAATACAGTTCATCTTTGTGAAGCACCAGGGGCGTTTATAACAAGTTTGAACCATTATCTTGTTTCCAGTGGTAAGTGCATTGGTCATTGTTGAACTAGATGTATACATTTACACAATGAAGAAAATGAATTTAGGAGAATTATTTTTTATCTTGTTATGTCAGATATGAAGCTTTTAACACTAAAATTGGACCTGCAAGTCTTCACAAAGCAGGCAATCATACAGTATACAAGTACATGTAAATTTTACAATGTACTATCAATATGGTTTGACTAATTTATATTAAAGGCAAGTCTTCTAGAAAATTATTCTTGTAAAAGTATAAATATTGCCTAGATGTTTAAAAGGAAAACTCAAATGGAGCGTAACATACTTTTTCTTTTTCATCTAGACTATAATGGAACATGGACTTGGATAGGAAGTACTTTGAATCCTTACTATGAGGGGAACCCCCTGGGTAAGATGATTGACGATGATCGCTTCATCAGAGGAAGTTTGGATTACTGGTATTTTGGTGCAGACAACACAGGAAATCTGATGGAGTTCAGTAATTTAGAGGGTCTCCTTCATGTGGCTTCTACCATGGGAGATGTACAGCTGGTATGTTTATTCACTTTAGTGACTGTCATGATCAAGGACTCGGTCTCCTTAGAACTTGAAAAATAAGTAATCAGTCACAATGTGGTCATTGGTAATTTGTTCAACTTGGCATGCTTTAATCATTAATCATGTTAATTACATGATTATACCACTGATAGAAATTGTACAAATGCTCTTTAAATAGTGTAAAGAAATTTTGATTTAGTACGCAGCATTTGAAGGTAAGATATTCCATAATGGAATTTTAGTTTTCAGAAATATTAGAAGTATGTATAAAATGTATTTTACCATTCATAATAAATGTATATTAGATGAAAGGAATAAGTGCTTCTCTGTCTATCTCTGATTTTGATTAATAAGTTTAAAAAAAATCATACCAGAATACATCTTTTAATTAGTAAAACAGTGCTATTTACCACAGAAAATATTCATCTTTAAATTACAAGATGTATGTAAAATGTTAAACAGTCAAATTGAATATATATAGAATTTCTTTGATTCTATTCATGCCCAGGTCACAGCAGATGGCTCCATTGACTGTCAGGATGACCCCGGCGAACAGGAACAAATTGTGTCCCGCCTACACTACTGTGAGGCCCTGGCGGGGATTCTTATTCTCTCCCCCGGAGGCCACTTAGTGATTAAGAAATTCACCATGTTTGATAGTGAGACTATCAGTCTGATGTACATACTGTGCTGCTTATTTGAGGAGGTATTATGCTTGCTTTATATATGTTGTACTCGTTCCAAATTAGACTGACAAAATGTTTGATTGCTGTATTTTTGTGATCATTATCCTTTTTTGTAGATAAATGTTTTTAAACCTGCAACAAGCAAAAGTGGAAATTCAGAAGTTTATGTTATTTGTTTGAACTTTCTAGGACTAGGAGAAAGAATAGATGAATTCAAACAATTTTGTAAACCTTTTTTTGGTAAGTGTTAACATGCTAACGACTGTCTGAATCTGATTTGAATGCTCTGTAAATGAGGGTATTATTTTTGAAATATATTGATGTCCACCAATTTCGAGAATAGTCCTTTTTCCTCAACTGGATTGAATTTTCAAAAACAATGACAGACACTATTTTATATAATTCTAATTATGCTCTATATGGAAACAAAAGGAAATTATTTGATGAATGTTTTGTCTACAGAGGATGAGAACCACGACTTCAGATTTCCTGAGAGTTGTCTCCCTTCAGAGTTTGTGTTGGAACACATCAGAATTTGTGAGGAGTTTACAGACCTACAAATGGACACCATTAAATGTAACCTGGACCATTATCCCAGAGTGTCTGAATCGTACAGTCGGTGGATGGAGGACATAAGAGATGCCTGTGCCGATTTCTATCTAGACACGTATAATCTCCACCCTATACCCATACAGAGCAGAATGCTGCCGTATCAAAAGGTATAAATCATGAATAAAAATCACATGACTTCAAAATAAGCAGAAAGTGGCAGCCAATGTATCTGTTGCACTAATGTAAAATATTAAATGTGAGTTGTTTTTAAAATTAAAAACATTTTATTATGCTTCTGTGGTACAAATGGAAATAAGTTGAAGATTAACTATGGAAACCCCAGATTAAAATTGAAAAAAAAAAAAAAAAAGGGTTTTTAATTAATTTGTATTAATTTTGCAGATTCTGAATGCATGAACACATATTTTATTTTTTTTCCAGAAAAAGAAAAATTGCATGGCTTTGTATCAAAACAATTCTTTTCCTGTCAAGGAACTTGAAAAACCTAAGAAGGGAACTTTTAATGAAAGACAAAAGATGATCGGTGCATCTCTGTATGAACAAGTGAAATTAATTGATCCTTATAAAGTAGAAACAACAAAGTCATTTAATTTTCAGGTAAGAATTAAATTCTGAAAATAAATATATGCTCGTCTTTTATTACTGCATTTTCCAATTTGACATCTGAGCTAGATTTTAATTAGAGAGTTATACATGTATTTACTTTAAAACAAGGTAAACCTGATTTTGTTGTAATCTGTAATAGTCAGGGAAAGAGGATGTACAAGGAATAGAAAGGTGGACATTATCACATGGGAAACCTGTATTGAACATCCATAGCTCATGTTTTTGTTCTGGGAAGCTGGTGCAACAAATGAACCTTTTGCAGGTAAAGGAATAAGTCATATGCTGATGTTTTACATTTGTCAATTTTTTGACATTAATGTTTACATTTTCTCTAAACTAATTGGAAAACAATTTTACCGAGAACTAAAAGGAAATGATCCTTGTCACAATGAATGATGAAAGTTCACTTTACTTTTAAAACTGATTGTTAATAACATCATTTAAGTTTTTCTCTGTGAAAGATAAAAATAGTATTCTATTGCCTTCTGAATCAATCCAAAGATGGCTATGTATAACCAAGATTGAATGTTTAATTTGCAGAGGTACGAAAAATCAGATACAAAAATAACAGACTTGGTTGTTGAGGCTTTATCAGTATTACATGCTGAAAATCAGAGACCGCTCTCAGTTGTTGTCAGTGAGACTATCCAGGGGAACATAACTGAGCAAAGCATCCAGTACCTTGACTTTGTAAACAAAGTGAGTAGTTTTCCTTACGACTGACTTGCAGAAAATTAAGTATTTGAACTTTTCATGATTTATAAAAAGAAAAAAAAATGTTTGAAAGTTTTATTCAGAAATTGAACCACATACATGTGTCACTAATGCACCCTTTATGTGCACTTCTCTACAGAACATAAGTCCACATGTACAGTTGCCAAATATTGAAGGAGAAAATGTGAGGGAGGAGATTGTTTGCCATGTGATGGGGACTGGATTAATGGATGAATTGGGGTCACAGATAATGATATTAGAGGAGGCTATTTCTCTTTTGCAGGTAATGAAAATTCAATAAACATAATCCAGTAACATTAATCATTTACCTCCCTTGTAAAGGTAATGAATGAAAATCTGCATGAATAAACAGTTCATGACCACCATGAACTGGACATCTGTCAGAATAAAATTGGAAATTTTTATTAAAATATTTTTCTGTAAATAAATTGTTACAGTCAATCTAAATATATACATACTAATAATGTTGCTCAAACTTATGGTGAATAATTTCTTGCTTCAGAACATTAAGGCTGGAGATTCCTTCATTTGGATACTATCAACCTGCCTCCTGAGGTGGACAGCTGGAGTTGTCTTTCTTTTATCAATTTGTTTTCATAAGGTTAGACATCTTAAAACTTTATATTCATTTGCTCATATAAAAGTAGAAATGCAGGATCTAGAAATTTAAAATTGAGATAATCAGAGCTTCTCAAATTCTAATGTTTAGCCATAAAATATGTTCACACCAAGTACAAAATTGAAGGTCTCTTGAAGTGGTTAGCTTCACAAATGTGACACAGATTTCATTGAACCCATGATTAAGAAGGATTGCATGTTCCAGTGAAAGACTATATTGTAGTCACCTCCTTAAACCCATGTATTTTAGCTCAAGCCAGAGGTTTCAAATGTCAGGCTTTTACTTCATCTGCTTCCTCTCACAGCACTTATACCATCCTTCGCAACCCATTATGAACCATCTAGATTTATTTTTAACTTGGTTCACAAATCAATTTTAAAATTACTGTAAATGCATTTACTTTTCAATTTTCTATAATAGATGAGTATAAAATGCTTAATGGATTCTTTGATGTTATCTTATAGGTGCTAATGGTTCCCTCCCCTTCTTCGTCTCTAGCCCAGGCTTTAGTGTGTGTGCAGTACAAACCAGAAACTGCGTTAGATTTATCCCACATGGAGAATATCAAGAAACAAAGATCAAAACATGGAACGCTGATAGAAACTGTCCCAATTCATATACTTCTCAACAGTAAGATATTAGTTTATTGTGCATTTCTGTAACAAAATATTTTGTGAAAAATAATTGCATTTTAATATATTTTTAAAGCTTTTCATAGGAACAATTCTTATAGATGTGCATTCTGTTTTCAGATGATGAATTTGCACACTTTTTAAGAAGCAGCAATGAATATCTTATCAAAAGTTTCATATCAGAATCCATGAGGAAAATTCAGACAACAGATAGTAAAAAGGAATGAAGTCAAAATTTAGACTTCCAAGAAATGCTCAGTATTTCATAGTTCCAGCAGGCAAAGGCAGCTTTCAGTTCTTCCAAATAAACATTTTTATTTTTCTTTGTTAATAAAAAATGCTGCAGATTTGATGGAACTCTCAGTGTTCACAGAGTAGCAAATCAAATGTTTTTCATCTTTTTAAAAATAAAAACAGCTATTGCTGAATGAAATACCGGGGGTATGTTTGTCTTTTCATTCTGGAAAAAAGTTACGTTACTAGTAAATCTTTATAAAATTTAGATTGAATGGTATTGTAGATTCTTCACAGTTGCTAGTGGAGAAAATATATCATGTACTGTAAAAGCACAAATATTTGTGGGGGATAAAATTTTGCTTATTTTGTTGTAAACAATTATCAACAAAATAAAATCCCACACAAAATTTTATATGACTATATATTGAATAGGGTTACTTTCAAAACAACTTAAATACCCACGAAACCTTTTTAGATGACAAATAACAAAATTTTATCCCACAAAAATTTGTGCTTCTACAGTATCTATTGTCCCAGTTTTGAGAAAGCCAGGGGACATTACATATCATTTGTTTGTCAGTCTGTCCCCAAAACTGTTCTCCATGATTTGAATACATGCCAGGTATTCAAAGAGAATGGATATGCTTGAGAATTTCAATTTATTTTCATCATCATCTGAGCAGATGTTGTGTATATAAAGAACTCGGATGACTGTAACGAATTGTACACTGCTTGTAGCAGGTTTTGAATTTTAATTGTTACATAATCTAACGTAAAACTGCACTTGAACACAAAAAATACAGCTACCCAGGGTATATTATTTACTCAGTACTTGACATACATGTATACCCCTAAAAAGATTCACATTCCTACTTGAAATACATTTCATAGTCATCAGTGGGCTACGTTTAGCGTACTGTTCTTAATTAATACTAGTGACCATTAACCTCAGATTAATTTTATAAATCATCACATTCTGCAATGATTTTGGTAAAAAATTTTCAGTAGATTATTTATAGTTTTAAAATTACATGATTTAAAATCTTCCCATGCTGTTTTGGTTTTGAGGGTAAAAAATGAATGTTGAATATCAATGAGTAAATGACATGCAAGGGAACAATTTTATGAAGTCATCTCAGGGTTATCTTATAATATCTGTAATCTAAAAGCACTCTAGCACAAATGAATATATATAAATGTGTGTGCACAAAATACAATGCATTTTTGCACACATAGATTGGAAATTCCTGAATCCTTTTCTTCAAAATAGGAAATGAATAAGAACGAATGTACAAAACATCTGTTTAAATTTTCCACATTCCTTGGTGGTTCCATCAGTTCATTCCTTCTTGGTCAGGAGGGGGAATAACTTTTGCAGTTGATCGCAGTCCACTGGCTATTGCAGGTGTGTCATATTTCTCATACATTTCTTGTAACAATGAAGTCGGCAGATCCAGTTTGTTGATGTTGTTTTTCGGCAGATGCTTTTTAAAAAACCTTATACAGGAGTCCTTTAATGAGTAAACTGGAAAAAAACCAAAGCACCTTATTACATTCACGATATACTTGGGAAAACAATTAAATATTGATCTGAATTTGGAGAGAATATAAATACACTGTATATACATACTGGGAATTGTAATATTGACAACTTTTCGCACTGGTTTTATCGGCCACTGGCTTGGTACCCATCCTGTAGTAGGCTCATACACAGATTTCAGGTCAACAACCAGTCTCTCACCAGATTCCACATCCAAGAAAATCCAAGGATGCCCTACGTAAGTGTTCACATCCACAAATTCATAGGCTTGCAAAGTCTTGTATTTCACTCTTGCACCTTCATAGTTTAACCAAATAATGTCAACGCCTCTTTCTGTTCTGTTTTTAAATCGGACAAGTGAGCAAACAATGGATTTTTTGGACTTCCTGACTTCTACCCCTTGGTCCATGGAACCCCCAGGGGCTCCAGCCATCTTCAAGTTTTCTAAATGACTATTTTGGTCATTTTGGAATTTGTAATGATACCAAAAACAGTCCTTAAATGTTAGTTGTTCTAGGTCACTCTCATATAATAAGTTCTTCACTAAAAAAAAAAAGAAGAATTAGCATGATTAGTATCTTTATATAAATAATAAGAAATGAAAGCTAAAAGATACATGTAAAATAAGAAACACCAGTCATATATTCTAATTATTCTTATTCTAAGACTGAACTAGTTTTAATACCCAAAAATATATAGTTTTTGGTATGCTAGCAGTCTGTTCGTCTATTAATCTGTTTGTCAGATCTACAAAAACTTCAACTTTGCACAAAACTTTTGAATTTAATGTTTGGTGCAAAGGCTTTTATATTTCAATTGTATTGTGAATATTTCTTGTGGCACAACCATTCTTTGAGTGCCAACATTTCTGACCTCTTGTCCTTGATCTTGATCTTCTTTTGCAAAATTTTACCAAACTTTAACTTTAATCTTGGCCATTACTTTTAAATAACATTGCTAAGGCTTTTATATTTGGAAAGTATATTCCATGCAACTAGAGCTTTCTTTGGATTCCAACATTTTTTGCCTTGACCTTGGAGTTTGACCTAAATTTAAACAACTGAAGTCTTTCATCTCGGCCCTAACTTTTAATTGATCGCCATTTGGTTTTAGGACTCTCATTTATAGCAATTATTTCTGATCATGTGTCCTTGACCTTTGACCTACATTTTGTGAAAATCTTTTCTATAAGTTATACACATATACATGTATGATGTAGAATAACTCTTGAATGGTTGCTGGAGCAAGGTCTTTTAACAGGTTGGGACCAATCGCCAAAATGGGATATAATAGTCCATTTGGGTATAATATCCCAAATGGGCCATAAATTTACAGTGCAAAAATTTAAAATTTTTATTTTGGCAATAAATATCATAAATCCGCATCAAAACACTTAAAAAGGAATAACATTTGGTAAGCAAGTTTTTCTGCAACCCTACCGTTTCTTAGATTGATCCCCAAGAAATTAAGGAACTTCCGAGGGATCAATCTCTTAAACAAGAGTGCGTCGATTTACCCAAATTGACCCAAATGGAACCCAAATGGACCCAAATGGAAACTCAAATGGACCCAAATGGAAATCAAATGGACCCAAATGGAATATAAAATATATATGTTATATCGTATTCTCAAGTTTTTACTTATTTAAAATATAGAAAATAATGAAATTAAAACAAAAAGAGAATATTTTAATATCATTATTTTCTTCAATGTATTTTTTAAAATGCGATTTAATTCTATTTGTAATAACTGTTGAACATAATTGAATACAAAACTGAAGTATTTGATAGTTTCTATGGCCGTAGGAACGGATGGGGGGGGGGGGGGGGGGGAGGCCATGTCACCCCACCCCCCGCCCCTACCCCCAAATAATTTTGCCGTCATATAGAATGCTAACTTCATGTTTCAAAATACAATATTAGAGATTAACAGGGACCTATATACTAACGTTATATATAGGTCCCTGAGATTAATAATAAAAAAAAATCCATTTGTAACTGTAAGTTCATTTATTTTCATCATTTTAAATAAGTATTAAAATACGATAATACATATTTAATATTCCATTTGATTTCCATTTGGGTCCATTTGTGTTTCCATTTGGGTCCATTTGTTTCCATTTGGGTTCCATTTGGGTTCCATTTGGGTAAATCGACGCGCCGCCTAAACAATGAATGGGCATACAGGAAAACTTGTCAACCAAAAGTTATTCCTTTTTTAGTGTCCTGATGCGGATTTATAATATTTATAGCCAAAATAAAAATTTTAAATTTTTTCACTGTAAATTTATAGCCCATTTGGGATATTATATCCCAAACAAGTGTAGGGTTGGTCAAAGAGAAAGAAGACAAACTGGTCGTGACAGTTATGGCTTTGCATTGGAATTCCATTTGCTGTCTTTCTCAAAAAATTATCCATATATAAAAAAGAAAATTCATAGTAAACTTACGGTATACCACACACGGTCATTTAAAACGCTTTTGTCGTTTTGACATCTTTTCAGGACAGACTGTTTTTGAGGTTTGGCTAAAACCAGCAGTAAGTGCGTGTGTGGTTTTTTTAAAAATACTTTAACCATGTCAACACAAGAAAAATTAATGTAAAAATATATTCTAAATATATGTAAAATACGTATGTAAGAATCGTCATTATTTAATTGTTAGTCGATTTATTTTACTTTTTTAAGTACATTAGTTATCCTTAGGACTTGTTGGCATTGTTTACTTCCGGTTTTAAAAGAGAAAGTAGGCTGTGAAGCTTAACGTTGATGTAATTGAAAGGATATGCTAATTTCGGAGACAACATGTAATAATTTGGGTATTGCATCCTACGTAAATATAGTGATTTTTCTTTTATGTGTCGTTTTAAGGAACAATATTCTTCACTCCCAATCTTTGAGCGGTGGTTGCCCTACTTTCACTTTTCCGGAAAATTGGTTTCTTGAGCTAGAAAGACGAACCCTTATGTCAAATGATAAACAAGCGTCTATTCACAGTAACCATATTGCAGAAGTTCACAATGTTCCAATATCAGTGTTGATTAGACCATTCACATCAGTATTAGATGAAAATAAAGTGGCATCCCTCATGAAAACTCTGCAAGTAAGTTGAAATATTATGAAATACTCATGATGCTTCTACATTCTTTCTAGTAGGGCTGTGTATTGAGCCAAAAGTTTCGATACGATACGATACAATATTTTTTAAAGCGATATGCGATATATTGGATTATGAAACAAGTCCATCAGAAAAGGCTTCTAAATCATTTTAATGCATACATTTCATAACAATTCGTGTTTTATTACCCATTTTAAAGTTCTATAGTCTCATTGTCATTAAAAATAACACTTCAATTGAAACTTTTGATAACAGTAAAATCAACATGTTCAGATAAATTTCTCCTTGTATTTTGCAATAATTATGAAATTGTGTTATTTCCTTAGAAATTATATAATTATTGAAGGTTTTAATTCAAAAAAGTAAAATATAATCTTTGGTGATTGAAATTCCCATCTTTTAAACAGAATTTGAAGAAAAAATGTCTGTCCGATACGTATTGGAAGTTATTTTTCGATACGATATTTTTCTTGAATATCGATACGTATCGATATATCGATATATTGATACAGCCCTACTTTCTAGCATAATTTTCACCTGAGGTTTCTTCAACAGAGTTCGCGAGCATTTGCTCTGTTGAACAGGCCTCTGAAGTCCCATTGATTTTTTTAAAGTTGTTTTATTATTGATATGATACATCGATCAAATTCTGGGTACACTGTATATTCTTAACAATTCAGTCTTTTATTTTGTGTAAGGACGAAGAACAAGCAGACAACGTACCCCCGATTGATGTACTCTGGATCAAAGGCCGTCAGGGAGGGGATTATTTTTATTCTTTTGGAGGATGCCATCGTTATGAAGCTCACAAACGACTGAACAGAGAAACTGTCCCCTGTAAACTGTTTCGATCTACCATCAGTGATCTGCGCACGTATTTAGGAAGCTCAACACCAGATCTGCTCTAACAGAATTTGTATTATTATTTTTAAAATAAATGTGTGATGCAATGATGTGTTTCACGTTTTTCATAAAAAATCAAAATCTGATTTTGTGCTCATTCAATTAATGAAATAAATATAGTATGTCTTTTGTAATGTGTGTCTTCTGTAATAAGAAAGAAATCGTACGTGGATTATGTAAAGAATGTTTGATTGCAATTTCTACATTTTCTTAGAACTCATACATTTCATGTTATACATGTATTTTTTTTTTACTCTGTGTTGATTGTGGGGCTTTAATAGTTGTATCTACTTATCTTATGTATGCTTTTTTGCCTAGACGGTACACTATATGACTATAAACTAGACGGTACACTATATGACTATAAACTGATGAATATATTTTTAAAATAAAAAGGCATAATTAATAGATTAAAAGAACGGAAAATACTTCAGTTATTCTGTCTACACTTGTATGATGCAGGATTTGTTTTCCTTTGATATAATTAATATAGAACCTACGACAATGACAACTATTTAGCATTGCATCTTGACTGGTTCGCGGAATTTTGAATTGAAAGCCATTGTTAACAGTTACTTTCGTTACTATTTTTTAACTCTTAAATAAAGTTTAGGAGTGCGAATTATAGTTTATACGCAGAACTGTCAACAGTAGCTTGCTTGTCTGAAAATATGGGATGGACGACCATCTCAATTTTTTTTCAGACCAGCGAGCTACAGTTTTGCACCTAATGATAAATGTACTTTTATGACTTGTGAAACTTTCATGAACAAATGAAAAGAAAATTTTTATGGATATTTTCTGTGTATTTCTATATTTCTTTGATTGCCAATATGGCTCAACTCCCATACCCATGATTTAAACAAACGTGAGCATACACTATCTGTAGATGCTTCCGTATAAAGACTTATCATGGCTTTGCAGGTTTTCATCACAGGCGCTTGTGGAAAGGACCCCCCCTCCCAATTATAATATATGACCCATAGCTTGTTATCCTGTAGATTCTGAAGTGTACAAATTATGACCCTCGGGGGTTGGGCGGGGCCTCAATGGGGAATCAAAGTTTTACATAGAAATATATAGGAAAAATCTTTGAAAATCTTCTTTTCAAGAACCACTGGGCCAGGAAAGCTGAAACTTATGTGGAAGCATCCTAAGGTGGTATAGATTCTAAATTGTTCAAACCATTACCTCCGGGGGGTTGGGCGGGGCCACAATAGGGATTCAAAATTTTACATAGAAACAAATAGGAATTTTAAAAAAAAAATCTCAAGAACCACTGGGCATATGTAGAAACATCCTGGGTTAGTGTTATAGTTATACGATAGATTCTAAATTGTTCAAACCATGACCCCGGGGGGTAGGGCGGGGCCGCAATGGGGAATCAAAGTTTCACATAGAAATATATAGGACAAATCTTTGAAAATCTTCTCAAGAACCACAGGGCCAGAAAAGCTGAAACTTATAAGGAAGCATCCTAGGTTAATGTAGATTTTAAATTGTCCAAATTATGATCAGTGGGGTAGGATGGGGTCACAATATGTATTACAAGGGGAAATCTGGTAAAGAACAACATGTTCAAAGCTTCTCAGGTGAGCGATGTGGCCCATGAGCCTCTTGTTTCATATTGTAGACATGAAAAGGAAGTGTAATAGATATAATTTGTAATTCTTTTTGAACAAGCTAGGGGTCATATACATGTATTAGTATTGGGAGGGGGGGGGGGGTTCCTGTCCACGAGTACCTGTGAAAAATTCCTACATGCATGTGCTCCTACAAGAAAACTTTGATCTCCATTGTATCCCAACCTACCACTAGAAGCAAGCTTTGAACGAACTTGAATTTGCACAACCTGAGGATGGATCCACCTATAAATTAATCATGGCTTTCCTGTTCTTGAGAAGACGATTTTCAAAAAGTTTTCCATACACATAGTATATCCATCTAAATCTTTGATTTTAAGCCCAACCCCATCCAAGGGAGTCATGATTTGAACACTTTTGAATCTGTATTATCTGAGGCATCGTCTCAAGCCACGGTTCGGTGTCCGCATACAGCTCTCTCCTACCATAATGGGAGAGGATCGTACATTTTGGTCGTGGCTTGCGACGATGTATCTGAGGATACTTTTATAAAGACATGTCTGATCATGGCATTGCTTTGCTGTTCTTGAGAAGATTTTAAAGATTTTTATGCATACCCATATAAACTTTTGATCGTCCATAGTAGCGACAATCTACCCTGGGGGTCTTGATTTGAACAGACTTAAATCTATATTGTTTCAAAGCATATTCACATAAGCTTCATCTTGCATTGTGGTTCTTAGAATTTTATTTTATTTAATGACCCCATCCAATTTTTACCTTTTCTTCAATATCTTCCATTAGCAGAGGGGTTGATCCTTCTTTTGAATAAAATAAATCTACTTTACCTAAAGATACAGTCCGACATACATTGTGCCAAGTTTAGTTCAAATATGCGCAGTAGTTCCAGAAGCGAGAATGAAAGTGTAAAAATGTTTGTACAACACCGATGACTATAATATATGCCGACAGCGATAGACATAATGCTCCGGAGAGTTAAGCTGAGCCGAATGCTCGTGTGGGCTAAAAAGCAAAGAATTACAATAATTAAAATAGTTTTAAAATTTCAGAATTACACGATTTTTGATTTTAAGACTCCTGAATTTCATCGTAAAATGCTATAATTTACCATAGTAAAAACTTCACAGTTCATGTTTTATAATTTATAAACTATAGTTAACTAAGTTTAATATTTTTTGTTTGGTCAGCGTTACAAAAGTTTCCTGATATTTATCAAGAATACAAGTGCATTTGTACGTACCGCTGACCCTAACCTAGTATAAATCTTCAAGAATTGAAGAAACCAATATTTCGGATTTAAAACAAGTCCCCATAATTCATCAAGTACTGAAATTATCTCGATGTCCTGACGATAAATTACACAGAAAACTGCAGGGATGATCAGGGTTATTTAGACCAGTGCCCGCTAGTTTTAAAGAACGGTCAGTATTTTTCACTTTTTAGAGCAGAAAAGAAAAAAGTTCATGTTACAGATTTCTGGAAAATCTTTAAACATAAGGAAAACTTGTATTATGTAAATAATTAATTAAAACACAAATGATGAAAAAACTACATATGTAATTATATACCTGGTACAATATTAAATGAGGAATCAAACAAAGAATCATTTTAACAGAATTCCCTGAGAAAGCCTGTGTGCATACTGTTAATCGTAGATACAATGGTATACTAGTATATTGCCATGAATTTCAAGGATTCATGGATTTGAAAGGTTTTTTATATGCTTCTTGGAAACCATATATCATTTCTGAAGTTTAGTATTAAATCCATGATTTATAGGCTTCTATGAATTTAGTGATGTGCTTTTAATATTTTTGCAACTTTTCAAATATGTTACGTTTAAAGAAACTGTTAAAAAAACCCTTCCCATGTAAACTTTTAATAAGCGCAAAAGACGAAAGAACAATTATCATTGATTCTTTTTTGATATTTTGCAAATAAAAATTAATTTAAAAAAAACGATAAAAACTAGAAAATTGGTAAGACAGACAAATGCCAATTGTCATCCCAAACTGATCTTTCTCCGTGTTCATAGTAAAGGCGACCAATTTAGATTGCATGCACAGCTACTCTAAGTAATTAAAAAAAATCATCATGTTATCTGTTAAAATTTAACAATGTAAGGTAAAGAAGCATTTAATATATATTTTTTAGGACTCAAAACGGATTTATGTTACTGAAAAAAGTATGCCAAGTAATTCATAAATTATACCTGAAGTATGATTGAAAACAACGGTTACATTTTGATTTTACAAAAATCTTATTGTAATTAATGATTTTGTAATGATAAATTTCTATTTTTGTCTTAGTTTGACTGTGATTTAACCCTCAAGTTTGGACATATTAGGACATAGCACGAAATCAGTTAAATCCACTGGTTTTAAAACTCGAATAAAGTTGGCTGAATTTTAGTATGTATTAAACTTTAGGTGGCCTTTAAGAAAAGGTAAGAGGGTATACCCGGTATTATAATTACGATATCCTTTATTAATCTTTTATTCGTACATTCTGAATTAAATGTTAGACAAAACGACATCGTTTCAAAAAATTAAGAATTTGCCAATGAACTGAATGTTTTGAAGATTACCACATATTTAAACCAATTAAAAGAAATGGCAGAGCATTTCAGTCCAAAAAAAAATGTACATGTACTTGAATTTTCAAGCATCTTAATAAAATTCTATTGAAATATTCTCTTAGATTGAGAAAAAAAAATGCCGGTAAAGAAGAAGACATGTGAACTCTTGTTGATGCTCACCATAGGCCTAACTTGTTTGGGTTAGTTTGATTTAAAATATATTTTATCTAAATCAATGAAACGGATTGAACAACAGGCATGAATGCCTAAGATCGAGTCGATACGATATATTCATATATCATGGTGAGCTTGAGATAAAAGATACTACCGAGTCTGAAACATATTTCATATTTGGATATTTTACTTGAAAAAGACGTTAATGGTAATATAACAACCAAACTCTATGATAAACGTGATGACTTAATGTAACTTTTCTATCGTCAACTTCTCTTACTTATGCAGCAATATACCTTCATCACCTGCATACGGAGTTTATGTATCTCTGTTGATTCGATATGCAAGAGCATGCTCTTCGTATGAACAATTTTTAAAACGAGGTAAATTATTGACAAACAAGTTAATGAAACAAACATTTCAGCAGTCTCGTCTCAAGTCATCATATTTCGTAAATTCTATGGTCGATCCAATGGCCTTTTCAGCAAATACAATTAATCATTGAGTCAAATGCTGACTGACATTTTTCATGCTAATTGTTAGTCCATTATTTATACATTGAATTGACGACGGATTTTTCCGTTATTTCCCGATCATGACAAGGAGCACACGGCGGGTGTGACCGGTCGGCAGGAGATGCTCACTCCTCTAGGTCATCTGATCCCACTTCTGATGTATTGAAGGTCCGTGTTTGCTCTGCTCCTATTTTGTATTGTTTTATTGACTTTGATCTTGAATACTGTTCGTTATCTCAATATGGTAATCATACAAGACTATTGAACCCTAGTTTGCTTTGAACCTATTTTAGTTTATGTCTTTCTTCTTCATTTTCTACAGACATTTCCAAATTGCTACATTCATTTGAAGTTTTCATAAAAAAACTATACGGTGTCTTTACAGATAATTCTCTTACATGTCCTTGTTTTTCCTCTCTTTTCAATTATAGTCTTACTGGACACATCATTACTCATGATAAACAATGAAAAAATGATGAACTAATAAAATAAAATCAAGGTGTGAAAATCACGGAGCAAACGTCTTTCAAATGCTGAGAGAACATTTTTACTGTAATGAACTATACTTACGATAAAGAGTAGGCCAAATTGTGGAAAGGGGGGGGGGGGTTGGCACTTTATTTAGAATGGATAAAGCATTTTTTTGAGAATTGCAAATTTCTTTTAACATCAAAATGATTCAGCATCAGCTCGAAGGAAGTTCTTTGATCTTTCAGGGAAGGAGATTCCAGATAATCAGGGAAAGGAATTCATCATTGGATTCATGGAGGCCGACGAGGCTTGGTATGGAGATATATCAGATATACCATTGAAGTTGTTTATTACGACAGCGTCTGAAGTTCCTGTAAGTGTTAATGTTTCTGCTCCTATGTCCAAGACTCTTTACCATGGTGACCGATTTACCGTTAAAAGGGGGACCATAAAGCAGATATCGATTCCAAAGTCCCTTAGAGTAGAGGGAACATGGCGTGCAAAGAAAGCAATTCACATTGTCTCGTCTGATGAAATTGTGGTGTTTGGAATAAACCAAGCGAGGCTTTCTACTGATGGCTTTCTTGGAATGCCTTTGGATGTATTGGGAACTAAATATTTTGTTCCTTCCTTCTATTCAACTGCTCAAAATTTTTACCAGTCGGCCATTCTCATAGCTGGGACACAAGACAACACCAAGTTGAACATCAAACTGCCAATGGAACATAACATTAATATACATCTTGAAGGAAAAAGTTATAATCAGGGTGACTGGATCAACATGACAGTCAATAAATATGATACCTTACAGCTTCTTTGCCACGCCGATTTAACAGGTACGGTTGTTTTATCTTCAGAGAAAGTATCTGTTTTCGGAGGATCTACCATAACTTCTGTTGGAGTAGGAACTTCACGGGATCACATCGAAGAACAAATACCACCTGTCAATGTTTGGGGGAAATCATTTGCAATAAATCCATTTCCCGATACCAATCCAAACGTTATCCGATTTTTGGCAAGTGAAGATGACACTTTTGTCAACATTGATGGTAAACCATCTGTTCACATGTCGGCTGGAAATTTTCATGAGTTGGAAATGGACAGTTTCTCTTTAATTACTTCCAACAAGCCAGTTTTATCTGTGCAGTATGTTCCCAGTGGAACATGTAAAGATTATGTAGTTCCAGGCTGCCACAAGGGCGATCCAGCTATGACTTTAATTCCCCCAATAGAACAAAGTAACACATTCTACTCGTTTTTAACACCGCTTTCATCTAAAAATTCTAACTATAAAAACATATTCATGTTCTTTATAGAAGATTCCTACGAAAGTGGAATATTACTTGACAATAAACACATCAAAAGGAGAGCCTTCCACAATGTAGTGCACAGACACAATCTCTCTGTTGGTTATATAGACATTCTACCTGGTGGTCATACCATAGAACATTCTTCCAAAAATGTACCCTTTGGAGGGATACTTTATGGCGGTATCCAGTATGAATCGTATGCTTTCCCTGTTGGTCAAAGGTTTGCCACGATAAATAAGGTAGTTCTAATGATTAGTAAAACTTGATTTAAAAAAAAAATTGTTACTGTCTGTATTGAAAGTCCCACAGATGACTTTATTGAGTAAATAAGTTAACAATACAAAGAATAAATGCTCATCATATGATGAATATGCATATATGAATCTTCATTTCACCACATTTTCACTGCTTTTAGAAAGAATGTCGTCCTACTGTAATGACCATTGGAGATGGTATAGATAATGATTGCGATGGACAAGTAGATGAGGAGATTTGTAATGATCTACAAGGTAAATAGGTGAAGTTCTAAAGTATTAGATGAAACATTTATTAATTACTTAATCATTACCAAGACATTTGCTTATAATGACAAAGTAAAATGATGCGAGTGTGTATTCTATATATATTGCAGATACACTAGTGTATATTGTTGGTTTAATATTTTGGTAATTTCATCCATTGCTTTGTTGGATGAGTAAAGTTTTCAATTAAATCTTTGTCATAGAAAGCACATCTAAAACTCTAATAATAAGAAATCTATATATGGCTATAAAATAGTATTATTGTCAAAAAATTATAAATACTATGAACAAGTAATTACTGAATACTTTTAATGCATCATTAGAGCAAGTGAGTTTGGCTTTCTTTAATATTTAACATACTAAATATTTTTATAATTTAATAATGAATTCTCCTTCAGACGATGATAAAGACGGACAAAGAGATGAAGATTGTTTTAAAGCACTTAGTAAGTATATTCAATGGCGTGTTAATTGAACATCTTTGCATTTTTGTTTGAATATTTAAGTTCAATTCATAAATGTTAAAATCTCAAATGTGATTTTTCTGTCAGGCACATTGAAAATTGTTGATATAGCATTTGTTGTCACTTTTTTTTTTTCCGTGTTTTTATATCACTTATGTACAAAAAGATTATAAAATGTATTTAAAACCAGAGTAAAGCTCAATATTATTTTTTTCTTTTATTCTAAGCTCTCTGATTGGAATCTGTGTATATGATAAACTTTCAGCATATAGAGGGTTGAAAAAGATTTACCTAATGTGATTTTTCAGTCAGACACATTGATAGTGATTTTTATCGTTCAAAGAATCATTTTCTTCATCTGTGAACATATTTGTTTTTTAGAATCAAGTGGAGCAGGCAAAATATCAAATTAAGGTTAATATTGAATCGATTTCCAATCTTTCTAAGGTACAACAAAAACCATACCAACGACAACCACGACTACACAAATGTCAACAACTACAACATCAACAGAACAGACACCAAAATCAACAACCATAAAAATCAAATCATCGACAACAGTTACAACTACACCAGTGCCAGCAACTACAATATCACCTTACAGTCATAGTGGGACAACAGAAACACTGAAATCAACATCAATATCAAAAAATGAATTACCACCAACGATAGATACAGCTACATCCGTGTCCATGATAACAGATTCAAAGACAACAACAACATCACCTTCGACTAAATCAAGTAAAACACCAAAAACACCGGGGACAAATTACACAACTACAGCAAAATCTTCGACAACAGCGATACCATTGACATTAATTTCAGTATCAAGGACAGCTACGTCAAATCCACCAACTAGTAAATCTGCAGCTATAGCATCAAAAGGAACAATTTTGAATTCCAAGATGATAACTATTACAACAACGACAACAACTCGGAACCCACCAGTGACAACCTTGAGTTCAATACGCAAAGGTAGGTAAAGAAAAAAATGTTTTGTAAAAAAGGGATCCCTGATAATTCAGTTCTGTTTCCCCAAGTACAGACGATTGACGATCTCCAATTAAGTTCATTGAAGTGGATTTGTATACGATGTTATTATACAATCATTATCTCCCAAAAAGCATTCAAAAACAGATTTCAAAAACCTATATTTATATCATTATCACTTGTATATGTATATAAATAAATTTAAAAAAAACGTGGCTCATCTAAAATACATAAATCTTAGAATGTGGAAAGCTGTAATATAGAACTTAAAATAAAATTTGCTTTTTTGTTTCATCCGCAAAGTTTTGGAATCAAATAAACATTCCTATTTCTGCTCTTCTCAAATTTGTAAAATGTCTTTTCAGCAATTGAAGATATTGCAAATGATAATTATGTTTTGGTGATTTTGAAACGTTAACATTGGTTAATGTTCAAGAGGAATTACTGTCTTGTTAATAATAGCCCAAATTTTGGACCGGGTAGTATAATGTCAATTCTTTAAAAGGGGCATTACATTATTTATTCTTTATACATTGTCTTTTTAAATGTCACATATCAATATGTATATGTACATTTATTACAAAATTTATTTGTCTTTTATATAACAATATTTTGTTAATAGACACAAACATGACAGATATGAATGAGGAACCTCAACATCCAACCTGGCTTTCCTTTGCAGAGTATGGCATAATTGGTTGTGTTTCAGCGGTTATTATTGGAGGCATTGGTGTGTGTTGCAAGAAATGTCTCGGTCTGTTATCAAAACGCGACAACGACGAAGATGAAGAACACAGGCGAAAAATGTACAAGAAAGCTAGACAGGCTTTTGGGGCACCTGCTATCAGACCAATGTATATAGAAAATAAAAAGACATGAGCTATTGAAATTGAACTCTTTTGTTAAAATAATAAATGTTCGAAATTAATCATTTATGACATATATTTTCTTAACAAGGCTATCGTTCAAATTTATTGAATTTGCGAAATGTTGTCTGAACAAGATTGTTGATACTAGTACTATTGAATCACCAACTTATATGTCAATAGTCAATCAATAGTTCTTATAGTCATATAAGTCTAAAATTACAAACAGATCTTTATCTGCGGGGCTACCCTTCCCCCCACACACATTGCAAGTGTTTGAAGTTTGACGAGACCGTTCAGCAAAGACAGAAGTTATCTGTAGAATTTTTTTACAGTTATCGTATCATGCCGCGGTCTGTATTTACGCAGCTGTACTCTGAGTTTTCGAGCATATAAAGAAGATGTACGGTTAAGAATTTCATAATTATTATGGATTCTGTTGAAGATTACGCCAGGCAATGGGCCAGATATGAAAAAAAGAAGTTGAATCTTGTCAGAATGAATTAAATGTACCAGATCCATCTTAAAATTGCGTATTAAAAGATTGAGAGCAGTATGAAAACCATCTATCCTGTATTCAATAATCCAGACGGAAAAAAGAACTAGATAGATTGAGTGATCAGAACGTACTGGTCCCTGCTTACAAAACATGTCTTCGTTTGTAAGGCTGATTATATAAGTTGTATTTTAAAAGAACTTGGATTTAATTCTACAAGTGGTATACCGAACATATACTCATAGTTCCCTTTTTTCAGGAAGAAATTCTTTAAAAGCACATGTCAGTTTTGAACATTTTTAATATCCCAAAGAACCAAAATGAATTTGAACTACGATATATATAAAATATATTGGATTCCAAAACTTCATATGAATCTTTACAAAGATGCATAGCGGGTTCCAGTAAATGTTTAATCAGGCCTCTTTCTTTACTCATCACATAGATATTATCATTAGTGAAGGAGAAACAAGGAGTACAATGCAACAATATATTCAAGAAGTGGTGCAAATCAGATGTTGATACTTAAATATTTCAAGGAAGTTTTAGACAATTTGAAATCACAAGATTTTACCAAAATCACTAGCTTAAAAATCTTACGACTTTTTAACTTTATACACAATCATTCCTCATAATAAATTAAAGTCCAATCTTTTTTTAGATCTGAAATTAACAGCTGCTTTTGCATTCGTAACTCGAAAATTTACTTACATTGTCATTGGTCATTTGCAAAATTCTTTTGTTAAAAAAACATTCTGATTGTACACACAAGTACTCTGAAGTTGACATAAAAATGCTTGATTTTCTGATTGACAGTATCTCTGTGGTTTTTGAAAACCTGGTCGTCCAGCAATCTATTGAAATTCAAATGGGTACCAACTGCACCCCTTCATAAGCAGACCTATTTCTTCAAAAGCAGAATTTGTCCAAAATCTTATAATTGAAAAGATGAAAACACTTCCTGTGGCCTTCAACTCGATATTTTGATAAATTGCGTAAATTTAAATTGGTTATTTCCATTCTTATGCGATATATCCCGGCGAGCTTGAAATAACAAATACCACAGTGTCTGACACATCTGTTTCATATTTAAATATTTTGTTTGAAAAAGACGTTAATGGTACAAACAAGATGAATGACTTTAACTTTTTCAATCGTCAACTTCCCTTGCTTACGCAGCAATATACCTTCATCACCTGCATATGGGGTTTATATCTCTCATGCAGTTGATTCGATACGCAAGAACAGGCTTTACATATAAACAATTTTAAAAACGAGATAAGTTATTAACAAACAAGTTGATGAAACAAAACAAGAATATTAACAATCTCTTTAATGTAATCATTTCGTAAATTCTATGGACGATACAATGACCTTGTCAGCAAATACAATTTATCATTGAATCAAATGCTGACTGACAATTTTCATACTTATTGCTGGGCCATTATTTATACACTGAACTGTAGACAGGTTTTTCTGTTATTTCCCTATCATGACAGGGAGCACACGGCGGGTGTGTCCAGTCGGCAGGGGATGCTCACTCCTCCATGGCACCTGATCCAACAGACCCACGGTGAAATCGGCTTCAAGTCCAGTGTTTAACTGTTTGAGTTTGTACATGTATAGATTATATAGGAACTACATTATTGAAAGCCTATGTAATTTTTTCTTTTCCGTAAATATTATTTTATTTATTGCCATCATTACATCTAAGAAAATATTATAAAAAATAAAGAGATTAACCTAAGAGTTTTTTAAGTTTAAAACGACCGGTCAAGTAAATTGTATAATCGTTCAGTAAAATGCCTTTTGACCACATTTACTTTGCGATTTTGAGTCGTGCAATACGAGTTCTTATCCAAAATATACCTATCAAAATCCTTGTTATAACTAATTTCGGGATTGACATACCTGATGATTTTTAAATAAAAGAACCAATAAACATAATATGATGACACTTTTATAAGAAATGGAAGCACAAATTCTTTATAATGATTTTGAAAAAAATTTGAGACAAAATATAACAGTCAGTAAATTGGTCTTTTATGTATATTAGGAAATCTAGCTGTTTGTTTTATTTAAGATAATTTCAAAAGTCTTTTCAGTTTATATTCTTGCATACTGGATGGATGATATAGTTATGAATAAAAGACTGAAGAATCAAAATAGATATATACAGAATTGCGTTCTTAAAAGAGGAAGAAAGTAAAGGTTACTAACTAATATTTGTAGCAGCCACGTGCACAAAATTAGAATCACTGACACATCCCATGTAAAATAATACAAAAGGACTGACATCGCTTTTTAGTTAATTAATCTGAAATAAATTGTTGATATTTTTTTAAAGTAAATGATAACAACAGCCAAAATGATAGCAACAATAAACTTTTAAAATATTTAATAGAAGGTGTATTATAATTACCAAGGTCTTTTGTTATACAAGACAAAAGTACATTTGAACTTTCTGTTGACCTTAGCTCCATCTAAATCCCTATAAATTCAACTATCCAATAGTTTGGGTATTAAGACAGCTCCTGTAGATTATTTAGTATTTTAGTATTAGAATTATCTCAAGTTTTCTAACGAAAGATAAATCACACAGACCTCTCACTATATCTTAATTTAGATAGAAGTATTGTGGTCGCAAATTTTAAAAGACGCTGTTTACAACAAATGTTTTATTCTGATGATAAGTAATAAAAAATTATTACAGTTATGAAATTTCTTGATTATATGTCAAATGGTTTAGATAGATACATTTTCTACTTTAAATAATAAGATTGTCAAACCAAAATGTGAAAGTTATGAATCAGGCAAAGACTTTTGACTTAAGATAGTCTGAGAATTGGTTTATAGAACATACAAAAAAACATTTATTTACAAATTAACACAAAAGAATAAAATTATCAAAATGCACTAGATGCTGGGGTACGAAAAAGATATTTTGCTGAAAGGTCTAAATTTGTAGTTTTCTAAAGGCAAATTGTGGCATCTTGATGGAAAAGTTCTTAAGAGAATGTTATAAAACTTCTGCCATACGTCGGTGTTATTAAATTATCTGTTAAATACTTTAATTCGTACATGTATCACTCATAGAATTAAAGAAGGTAAATTATTACAAACATGCATACGAGGGGTGATCAAAAAGTTCGCGAATTAATTGAATAACTTCCAAAATAGGAATGATATAGGGTTTCAGTGTTGAAAACAAATTTTAATGCGCACAAATTCTGGATGCGCGGATCACTGATATAGGCGGTCATGATATTTCTTCAGCCTTCTGTCACAGAAGCTTAAATTTTTCCCGACCCTTATGTTTCTTCCCATGCAAGTTATTTTTTACAACAAAAACAGTCTATTTGTCAGAAATGGCTTAATCTCGGCAATAGTATGAATGGATAATGATATCCTTTTCCAGAATGAGCATGGTGACCATTAAAACCCAACTCCTCTGTCTTTTGAGCTTCGCTTATTTCATGTGGATAAAGTATGGGTGTCTTCACTTTATCATAGATTTTCTAAAGGAAAATTGATAATTATACTATTGAAGAAAATTTTTCTAACTGTAAGATATCACATTGCTTAACAAAGAACACATCTCTTTCCAAGTTTGCTTTCACTGGGCAATAGAATAAACATCATTTTTAAACATCTCCCTTACTTCACTTAAACAATCAATCCAGTTAATGACAAAACTTCTGGCAGGTCTTCTGTCTTCATAAACCATGTATAAATTATTTTAAACCTCTGCAAAGGAATTTTCAAGATATACGTTTAACTTTAAACATGTTTCAACCATTTTTTGTCACAAGTGATCTAACTTATGACCTAATTTCACATTGTGACGTCACAAACACGGGACAAAACGTTCCATTACATATGCTATTTATAGAACATATATATGATTCTATGTTTGCCAAATTTCATTCTGATCTGAATTGTGGTTATGTAAATATAGAGATAGTTCGCGAACTTTATGATCACCCCTCGTATCTTTATTTGATATATACGAGGAATGCAAGTCTTGCGTTGAAAAATTGCAAGAAAACCAGTTTTTCTTTTACTTGAATGTTATTCAGTTGTAAGTACACGAATTGAATAATTCAAAGAAATAAAGACTTAATGAGTAAAATATGAAAAAAACGTAGATATTAAAGTACATTAAAATCAGCTGGTACGGTGTAATATCTAGGGTACGGATTATGGATTTTACATGTCGATTGAAATTAGGTGTGATTCAAATTGTCAATATCGATACGTTTAAATAGAAGGTTACGGTAATCTTTTATCTTAGTTTGACTGTGACTTGACCCCCATTAAGGATATCAATTAGAATGAAAATGTGAATCCTCTTGTTTTTAACATCTTCCGAATTTGGCTAAATTTCAGTTTTTGTTTTTACCAGGCTATAAGTAACCAATGAAAAAAAGATAAGGGTATACTATAAGTTAGTAAACTAGTGTTAGTAATTGCGTTTTTCCTTTCAATTCAGTTTCAAAAATAACGAATCTATAAAAAATACTAGCTGAATTAAATACTCTAAAGATTACTTTTTTTTGTTTAAATGATTTATCTAAGTATTTTCTTAGGCTGAAAGGATGATGAAAAAGAAGAAAATGATATGTGAACTCTTGTTGATGATTACGATCACGTGCTCTGGTATGTAAATATATACATAGTAGTGTTTTGCTATTGAAAGGTAAACGATAATAAATACACGCATTTTTTAAAATTTCTTTTGCTTTGAAAAATTTTTATGTGGACAAAAGTATTTTAATTTGATATCTTTACACCTTATTTTAATTAAAAAAAAGAATTGGATCAAACTTAATTCACTCCTAACTGAATTGAAGCATGTATTCTCTGTTTTAAAACGAGTTTGTCAAAAAGAAAATAGAATTTGCAAAATGCTAACTTTAACAAGGGACTTTATCTGTTCCTTTATATCCCTGTTTTAATGCAGTCATTGAAATCTCTGTAATATCAAAGTACTTTTCAATATAAAAACGGACTATGCTAAAAAATCGCTTTGGTACCAAATCATTTTTTAGACTTCTTGCTTTTTTTAAAGCTGAGAAATCAACTCAAAATAAAATCCAATTCAGCACGAGTTTCATAGATTTGTTTTTAACATAGGCAAAGAAGTTCCGGATAACCAGGGAAAGGAATTCATCTTTGGATTTATGGAGGCTGACGAGGCATGGGTAGGAAATGTTTCAGAGAGACCATTGAAATTATTTATTACGACAGCGTCTGAAGTTCCCGTGAACGTCAATGTTTCTGCTCCAATGGCAAAGACCCTCTACCATGGAAACCGATTTACCGTTAAAAAGGGGACCATAAAGCAAATATCTATTCCTAAGTCTCTCAGAGTAAAGGGAACAAAGCTTGCTAAGAAAGCAATTCACATTGTCTCTTCCGATGAGATTGTTGTTTTCGGAATAAACCAGGCGACATATTCTACCGATGGCTTTCTTGGAATACCTGTGGATGTTTTGGGAACTAAATATTTTGTTCCTTCTTTCTATTCAACTGCTCAAAAGTTTTACCAGTCGGCTGTTCTCGTAGTTGGAACACAAGACAACACGAAGCTGAACATCAAACTGCCTATGAAACATAAAATAAACATACATCTTGCAGGAAAGAGCTATAATCAGGGTGACTGGATCAACATTACAATTAATAAATTTGATACATTACAGCTTCTTTGCCATGCTGATCTAACAGGTACCCTTGTTTTATCTTCAGAGAAAGTATCTGTTTTCGGAGGGTCGACTGTAACATCCATCGGAATAGGATTTTCTCGCGATCACATTGAAGAACAGATACCACCTGTAAATGTTTGGGGGAAAAGGTTTGCAGTCAATCCATTTCCCGACACAGAGCCAAATATTCTACGATTTTTGGCAAGTGAAGATAACACTACAGTCGTCATTGATAATAAGAATATTCATATAATGGCTGGAAATTTTCATGAGACACATGTGAATAGATTTGTGTTTATTTCTTCGAACAAGCCAATTTTATCTGTGCAGTACGTTCCAAGTGGAACATGTATAGATTTTTTTCCATTACCAGGCTGCCATAAAGGCGATCCCGCTATGGCTTTAATTCCCCCAATAGAACAAAGTAACATACTCTACTCGTTTTTAACTCCAGTTTCCTCCAAGAATTTGAACTTCAATAACATTTTCATGTTCGTTATAGAAGATTCTCATGAAAATGGACTACTGCTTGACAACAAACACATCAGAAGGAGAGACTTCCACAGCATAGTACACAGGCACAATCTAACGGCTGGGTATCTACAGATACCACCCGGTAGTCATACTATACAGCATTCTTCCAAAACATTGCCATTCGGAGGGATACTCTATGGCGGTATCCAGTATGAGTCGTATGCTTTCCCTGTTGGTCAAAGGTTTGCCACGATAAATAAGGTACTTTCCATTTGTTATTTAAATTATTCTGCGCGAAATGACTGAATATATAACATGCATTGATCTGTTAAAAATATAATTTTTCACAGCAAAAAATTGATGACACTTTGTGTCATGATAAATAAAGAAATATATTTCAAAGTAACGGCAAACTTAAAGTGTTTTGCTATTAATTTGTGCTCGTTACGGTAGCTTAGTCATTAGAATGCTCGCTTGTGGTTTCAAGAACCAACTGCAACAGAAATAAACAAAAAGTCGGCAACTATTCCTTCACCAACCTCTCTGGACTTTGACGTAAAAGTTTTACTTTGTTTGTTTATTGTTTAACATACCTTTCGAGAATTTTTTTTATCTCATATGGAGACGACACCACTTGCCGATAAAGAACTGCAAATTTTGACCTATAATCGGCACTCAAGGCCATTGAGCAGTGAGGGATCTTATTCATTTTGCATCTGTTCCTAACTGCTGTTCATTTCATTGTTGTAGAAAGAATGTCGTCCTACTATAATGGATATTGGGGATGGTGTAGATAACGATTGCGATGGACAAGTAGATGAAGAGATTTGTGATGATTCAAAAGGTAAATAAGTGACTTCCTGAAGTTTGAAATAAATTCAAATGTTAAAAGTGATCTCGTCTTAACATAGGAATTTTAATTTGATAGTCACTGCCAATAGATTTATTTTGATTCAGTCATAGCCCTAATGCTTGCTGGCAATTTTATACAGTTATATTAAAATGAAAACGTTCCCATCACTAGAAGAGTGCTTTAACAAATGTGCCTCTACCGGTAATCACTGGAATGTTGTTTCGATAAAATCTCAAATACGCAAGCACAACTTTTGTTAAAGAGCTACAATTTTATTATTAAAACGAACAAAAGAAAGTTATAATTCAAGTATTTTAAATAAATTGATCAGTGATCTGACTTTCCCTTTATAATATTTTTATTCTGTACATTGATATGACAAAGACCTCTATTTCAGATAATGATAAGGACGGACGAATGGATGAAGATTGTTTAATAAAATTAAGTAAGTGTAATATTGTTGTTATTTATATGCAACTTATTCAAATACTTGAATTTTTGAACTTTTATACAAAGTTTTTTTTTCCTTAAAAACAAAAAATGAAATTTGTCCTTATCAGTTTTTAATTTGCCCATTCCTTAAATGCATACTACATGTAGCTGTAGTATGGGAAAAATTATGATTGGCAATTGATGAAACACTTTTGAAGAACATACAAATGTTATGCTTTTCCTTTTGTTTACTGCTACCAAAGGCTTATAATTTAACTATTCTGAGTCTCCCTGTGAAATATTTCGTCGAGTAGACTTATAACCGGGCTTTCTTCAGCCAGAGTTTTTAATTTTTCATATTTTAATAATTTTGAAGATCATTAAAGTAGGTATTATAGAAAAATTCATTTTCAATCGTTTTAAGGTACGACAATGCAAACCACACCACTGACAACTAGGACTGCAATAGTACCATTAACTACATCGAATTCAAAGTCAACAGCAGCAACTATAACAATTAAAACATCGACAGCATCTGATGCAACGACATTAGTGTCAAGAGTTACAGTGTCAAACGTATCAACAGCAACACATTTTTCTAAGGCAGGATCAGCAACAACATCGGTATCTAAAAGAATAACAACGACATCAGCAACTCCAAAATCAACAGCAGCTTTAATAATTCAACAATCGGCAACAAAAGATACAGCTACGTCCGTACCAGTAGTTACAATATTAAAAACCACAACAGTATCACCCTCAACAATGACAAGTACAAAACAACCAGCAACACCACTGACAAAATCAACAACTTTTAATTTGTCGACAACTGATAAAGCTACATTCGTACCAATAGATACAACATCGAAATCAACAACAGAAACACCCTCTACTGAGAGAAGTACAGCAATACCGAATACAAAATCAAAAATAACGCATACGAAATCAGCAATAATTACAACAAAAATTTTGAGCACAGGTATATCTACACCATTGGCAACAGATTCAAAATCAAATACAGCTACAAAAATTCTTTACCTTAAGGCAACTGCAACAACAACATGGAAAAGAACATTAACATCGTTACCAACTACTAAAGCAACACTGATACCAACACCTACAACATTGAGTCCAACACGCAAAGGTAAGTTTAGAATAAAATTGGTTATAGAAAAACAGAATACTGGATATATTTGCTTTTTCCTTTAGGATAGAGCGAAGATTTTGGGTTGAACTATTAGAGTGAATAAGTGTGCAATGATTAAAAGAACACTGGAATAAAAAATGTATTTAAAAAGATTTTGAAAACGTAATAATTATGCCTTTTCCACAAATGCAAGAGTCTTGAAACAATAAATCATTAAATTGTAAATAAATCATTAAATTGTAAATGTTTGATTGAATAAAGAAGTAAAAAATCTTCCCTTCCCTCCTTGACTAATTCAAAACTATGTTTGGTTCTATAAGGGTAGATCTGAGTTGTACTTGAATTTTTTTAAAAGGACTTTTTAATTTCTTTTTACACATTATTTAAGGAATGAAGCTTATTTCAACTTATGTTATCCGATATAACATAACTTGGGGGCAGTTTACGCTTTATAAACCGCGAAGCGGTTTATAAAAAAGCGTAAACTGTCCCAAGTTTTGTTATATCAGATAACATAAGTTGAAATTAGCTTCATTCCTTATAATTCAATTTCTGTGTAGACAATGAGACAATATTTCCTCCGGAAAAAGGCTTCAAATTGAGCATTATTTTAAAAGTAACGTCAAGCGGAGTAATACGTTTTTGACGTAACTCATTGTGACGTAGGCAAGTTATGTTATACAAAATGTTATATGTTCCTCTGAATGATTCAGCCAATGAAATTGCTGGATACAAGTGAAATTAAATTATAACTTTATGACTGCACATTGCATTAACATAACATACATTTATATTTACATTCATTGTGTTTATCTACTAAGCCAACTGTGAAATTTATTTGAAAACCACTTCTGTGTATACTCACGCATAAAAATATACACGGAGGAACGTGTGTTAACGTGACGTCAAAAGAAGGCTACAGCGACGTTAGTAAAAGTATCACGATATAGGGCAACAAAAAGTTCTAATACTGATTATATTTTTAGTGCTTCCAAAGATGTAAAATGTAAATATAAAGAATATTTTTAAGTTTAGTGTGAATTATTGGTGTGTGAATAGCTCTTCATGAAATATGCCTGCGTGACAAATCTGTGTGATTCACACACCAATAACTCACACAAAACTTCAAAATATTCCTTAAGTAAATGCCTGAAAGACTTTTTAATTAAGTTTTACACCTATTATTTATTTGAACAGAAGATACTCATATAAGTGAGGACCCCCGACATCCAGTGTGGCTTTCCTACACAGAGTACGGTATAATTGGTGGCGTTACTCTAGTTGCTTTTGGAGCCATTAGTTTATGCTGTAAGAAATGCCTGGGTCTGTTGGCAAAGCGTGACGACGACGACGAAGAAGAAGAAAAACAAGAAGAATACAGACGAAAAATGTACAAGAAAGCTCGACAAGCCTTTGGAGCTCCTGCTATCAGACCATTGTAGAAAGATTTTCGAACAGAAGCTGTAGATATAAAATAGAATGTCAAAGATCTATAGAATGATCCATGCTGCAAATTCAATCCTTTGAACAGATAATTATAGAAATACTTTAATTTTTGCAAGAATAACATTTCTTGATAAATGATTTACCAGTGAATGAACCTTACCTAAGATGTTTATTATATTGAAAATTTAAAGTGAATAGATTCACATGAATTTGTGTGTGTGTGTTATTGTTAGGTTAGGTTTGTCGACATAAATTGGATGGAATTCTACATTCAGTTGAAATTATTTGACTTTTTATGTAAGGGACTGGAAAATGTTTATAGAAGTAGCTAATGAAATTGCACTAACAATATTCTGTAAGTAATTTAGAAAAATAGCATAAGAACACCCATATATGTGTTTTCTCTTTACTTTATTCACCCGTTTAAATATAAAAAAAATATCTATGTTTAGAAAATTAACGTCATTGACTTGAAATTCGGATATTTTGAAAGTATTTTTTAACTTACGAAGATTTTTAAATTTGACGTCGCTGAAGTATGCTAAATCAGACTCCACGGATAAAAGGTCAAAATTATTGGTATCCAAAAAAAAAAGAACTTGTCATAAGTAATAAATCTGTGAAATAAAAAAAACCCAACTACTTATATTTCAAAAGTCATGACCAAAGTTAAAGTTTATTTTGAAAGTGATTCAAATTGTAATGTCAAGCTCCAAAAGTGGTAACCAAGGAAAGTCTTGTCACAAGAAATTCACCTGTGAGATGAAAGATCTAGTATTAACTTTCTTCGATTCTAACTTTCATCGTTCATAAAACAAACTGCATCTCTTCTAGTTGGTCTTTAAAAAATATTTTTATGCCCCTGGATCGAAAGATCCCGGGGGTATATTATTTTTGTCCTGTCTGTCTGTTGTCAACTTTAACCTAGCCCATAATTATTGAATGTGGCTATATGGCTTTAATATTTCACAGGTGTATTCCTTGTGAACTTTCTTTGGGTACCACCAAATGACCATGGAGTTTGGCATACTCTTACAAAAAATACAAAACTTTTACCTTGGACATAACTTTTATCATTGAAGATTTAAAAAAACTCTTCTAGGAGTCCGTTTGCAGTCTTTCCCTTCAGCCTCTAATAAGCCTGTACGACATTTTACTCAGCTGAGTTTACAGAGAAGGTACAGAATGTTCCGTCTACTTGCTCAAGGCACGGGGTTCGCTGCAGAAGTGACTGATTCACAGGGGATGTTTACTCCTCCTAACCACCTGATCCCACCGCTGGAATTGGAGGAGTTCTGTGCATTATCCCACGTACACGTGTACGTGTTAAAATATTTTTTTGTGTATTCTTGTCTTGTAAAAGACTTGGATCCATCCATTAACGATTTGTCGTCTTTTACATTACAACAAAATGTTGCCGTGCTTGAAGTATTTGTACATTGCCCTTGTTTAAATTTAATATTTTAGCATCGTTCTACTTACATATAGGTTCTTCGTGCATTATTTTCCAGGGAAATTTCATGGATATATTAAAAGCTAATTATAATAATAGAAATATAAATATCGTAGATACTTTTTGCGATGAAATAATTATTCTTCAAACACGATTTCTTAGTTATTTAATTAAAATACATGTAAATCCTTACCATCAAAAACATACGTCCTTTCACTTCGAAGTTCCGAATGACAATAAAGACTGAACGGTGAACGCAAGATGAACGCAAGGTGAACGCAAAGTAAACGCAAAGTAAACGGAACGAAGAGCGAACGGTGAACGCGAGCGCACGGTGAAGGGTGAACGCAAAACTGAGAACAGAAAGTGAACGGTGAACGCTCTCTGAACGAACGATGAACAAACGGTGAGCGAACGGAAAAATAGGAAAATAGAACGTTTCAGGGACTGTACAATGGCTTGTATTGTTAATGGATTTTTTTTTAAATTTAATACTGTTTAGAATCTTCATAAGTCCTTAATTAAGAAGCCTGGCCTTACTCTCTTATTATTTTTACCTTCTGTATAACGTCCCGATTGTTAAATTATTTGCTCTTTAGAAAATATACTTTGATGGATAAAAGTATAAGATGTGCAAAATTAGATTTTTTAATGATATACATTAACTTAAGATTATATAGAAGGGGTGATTTATTGTTATGTCACAAACGTTATTGGATTTGATTTTTTTAACTATCTGATAAAACACCTGTTACTTTTGTTATAATATCTTATTACATGCTTAAAGCCCAAAGGTATAAAATAAGATTTATTTTCGGTGGAGTTATCAACAATCACCTTCAATATCAATTATAAGATCTCTACAAATGTAGGACCAATTTGTGTAATATAAGTGAAGGGATAAAAAAGAATTAATTGTAGCCCTTTCTCATAAGAGTGGATTAGGGTGAATCATGTCACCTTTTTTATTTTGGTTAGTTCTTATGCACTCACATGTCCAATATGTGTTTCATCCCCATTGCACCATTGGTATTAATTAGTATTTTTTATGAATATTTTAAATAAAAAATATCACAAATATATTGAAGTACCTGTTTCATCTTATCACAGAGATCGTGATAATGAATGTCTTTGATATCAAGAGAAAAACAAAATAAAAATTCAAAAAATAAGATAATCAACTTTTTTCATATGTTTTAAGAGAGCAATATAATTCAATTTGTAAAATTTAAGTTATCACTCTTAAAAATTGTCAACACAATCAGGGTGTCGAATATTCACATTACAGTATTTTACACCTGAGATTTTAAGAAAAAATTGACTATTGAATTTACAAAGGCTTTTTTTCAATCGATTTTTGTTTTAGCAAATTAATTTAGAAAAAATGAGATGTTGCATATAACTTTTCTTTATTAAACATTGAATATATTATCAGTTTGCTTTCAATGATCAAGACGAAGAAACAGCATGTAAAAATCAAGGTTTTCTAGAAAATGACAGCTCATTTTTCAGCACAATATAAAAATTATATCTGTCTGAACAAAAAAAAAAAAAAAAAAAAAAATTAAAAATAAAAAATTGGCACTATCGATACATTTAATTTAGATAAAATTCTCAGTGTATTTTTTTTTTACGTAACTTGACCCTCATATTGGAAAGCAATAAGATAATAAAAGTGAAATCCATTTCATCCAAATTGGAGAGCAATAGGATAATAAAAGTGAAATCCATTTCATCCGAGCTCCTATAAAAATCGGCTGATTTACAACGTGTGTCATAATAAGTTCTCTTTCTGCCGAGAAGGAAAGGTAATTAAGGTTACAGTATATTTCTACTTAAGTCCACCCTTTCATGATTTTTTCAATTCTTTTGTTTTACATTCTTTGGCAAACCAACAAAAGTATGATAAAAATCCAACCATTAAACTGACTAATCTTGCAATTTTTTTTTATAATTACCAGGATTGCCCCATTTTGGGGATATATAGTTTTTATCCTGTCCATCCGTTTGTTTGTCTGTTTTTTGTTTGTCTGCAAAAACTTTAACCTTGGCTGTGACTTTTGAGTGGATTGGGTTATGGTTTTCATATTTCACAGACGTAATTCTTGTGACTGGACCTTTCTTTATATACCACCAAATTTAATCTCAAAACCTTGACCTTGATGTTGGACCCACATTTACCAACAATTTCAGAAAATTAACCTTGGCAATATCTTTTGCATAGATGGAACGACGAATTTCAAATTTCACATGTGTATTCACTGTGACAAGACATTTCACTGGGTGTAAAATATTTTTGAATTGACCCTAGAGTTTGTCCCACTTTAAAAAAAAATCAGCCTTGACCATAACTTTTTAGACGTTAGTACTAAGATTTTCATATTTCATAGGCGTATTTCTTGTATAAGGACCTTCCTATTGGTACCAGCAATTTTTACCTTGTGACCTTGGAGTTTGACTTGCATTTGAAAACCTTCAACCCTCCCTATAAGCTGTTATAAGGAGGCATCAGTGTTTCACAAACACCTCTTGGTTTTTTGTGTTGAAATATTATTTTGCATATATATAGGCCATGCACCTTAATTCTCGATTTGCTATTTATAACAATACTTTCATTTGAAATATTTTCTTAGGTTGAAAGAATGGCATTAAAGAAGAAAAAGACATGTGAACTCTTGTTAATGATAATTATATCATGTTCTGGTAGGTTTTCATTAAAGATTATTGAACATATTTTGTAAGGGTATTTATTTAAGAAAATATTTATCAGTTTAATAACTTTATATATATAACTTTACTAATGTATTATTTTTTTTAAAAAGGAATATCTATCAAAAACCATGTTTTGATGTGAAAATTAAATATATTTGAATTGAATGGAAATTCATTTCAATCCTGGTAAACAAATGTGTTTACGATAAGCCAATTTAACTGAAGTGAATACATTGTCTTATTGCCAAGGTTTAAAAACTTACACGTTATATAATGATTCGGCATGATCTTTGAGAAAGATGTTTTCTTTTAGGCATTGAGATCCCAGATAATCAGGGAACAGAATTCATCATTGGATTTATGGAGGCTGATGAGGCTATACACGGAAAAAATTCAGACAGTCCATTGAAACTTTTTATTACGACTGCCTCTGAATTTCCCGTGAACGTCAATATTTCTGCTCCAATGGCAAACGCTATCTACCAAGGTGACAGATTTACAATTAAAAAGGGGACTATACAACAGGTATTGATTCCTAAGTCCCTAAGATTACAGGGAACAGAGCGTGCAAAGAAAGCTATTCATATTGTCTCGTCCGCTGAAATTGTTGTTTTTGGACTAAATCAAGCGAAATATTCTACAGATGGATTTCTTGGAATACCTTTGGATGTTTTGGGAACTAAATATTTTGTTCCTTCCTTTTTCGAAAATGGCAGAGATTTTTTCAATTCTGCAATTCTCATTGTAGGAACACAAGACAGGACCATATTGAATATCAAACTGCCAAATACAAATAATATAAGGATACACTTTGAAGGTAAAAGTTATAGTCATGGTGACTGGATGAACTTGACCATTAATAAATATGATACCTTACAGCTTCTTTGCCGCGCCGATTTAACAGGTACGCTTGTTTTATCCTCAAAAAAAGTATCCGTTTTCGGAGGATCTACCATAACTTCTGTTGGTATAGGATCTACAAAGGATCACATCGAAGAACACATACCACCTGTAAACGTCTGGGGGAAAAAGTTTGCGATTAATCCAATTCCCGACACAAATCCAAACATTTTAAGATTTTTGGCAAGTGAAGATAATACTATGGTAAACATTAATAATAAAGAAATTCAGATAATGGCTGGAAATTATTCTGAAGCACAAGTGGATCGCTTTTCTTTTGTATCTGCAAACAAGCCAATTTTAACTGTGCAGTATGTTCCAAGTGGAACATGTCCTATAAATGGTTTTAAACCAGGCTGCCACAAAGGAGACCCATCTATGACTCTAATTTCCCCTACAGAACAAAATAACCTATTTTACTCGTTTTTAACACCAGTTTCATCTATGAATTTAAACTATAGTAACATATTTTTGTTCGTTATTGAAGATGGTTACGAGGATGGAATATTTCTAGACAACAGTCCTATTAAAAGAAGCGACTTCCACAATGTGGTACACAATCACAATATTACAGCCGGTTATATTCGAATATCACCTGGTAGTCACACCATAGAACATTCTTCAAAAAAGGTACCCTTTGGGGGAATACTATATGGCGGTATCGAGTTTGAATCGTATGCTTTCCCTGTTGGTCAAAGGTTTGCCACGATAAATGAGGTATTTCTCATTGTAAAACATACAATTAAAAGTGCACAAAACCCCCTTGAAATGCCAACATATCTGTATTGACATTTTATTTGTTTCATACATGTATGCATGTTTGTTTAAGAAGCATTATGGGCAATACAGATAAATTTGTTTAAAGAGAAACAACATATTGATTTTTCTTTTCGGAAAAACATGTACCTTACTTCACTGCAATTTTTTTTTAAAGCAATATAATCTTCATTTTTGAAAATTTTATTTTGCAAATATTAAAATGTGTTATTTTGATAAGTTTATATGTAATTTAATCCTTTAGACTAAGATAAAGTAGAAGAAAATTTTTTATATATAATCCAATATACAATTTTATATATCAAAAAATCATTAATGTACAGGACGACAATAATGTAATTTTGATTCAATCGAAGGTTATAAATAGTTCCTCCATCGCAAATACGAACAACAGGTATTATTAACGTTTTTTTTTTCTTTCATTGAAATAGTTAATTACAATTTTGCAACAAAAAATTCCGACATCAAAGTTGCAGCTCATATTGCTTTAAAATATCGTTTTTGTAATACGTACCTTTATTAGGTATTATCCGAAAGCGACTAAAAAGGAAAATATATAAGAGATCAAAGTTTGATTGATTGATAATTAATGTTTAACGCCGAGTGGGCAATATTTCGGTGAAAGAGATAATGTATACATATAGTAATTGGATGCATTTCTTTACTCTGTTCTATTACTATTTAGGAAGATTGTCGCTCTAGCGTTATGAGTCCTGGTGATGGTCTGGATAATGATTGCGATGGACAAGTAGATGAGGAAGTCTGTAATGATTTCAAAGGTAATTCAAGGGATTTCTGAAATAGTCTAACACTTATAAAATATCCTCGATTCAATAGAGACCTTTTAAATTATTTTCACTCAGATATGTTAGTAGTTTTTTATTCAACCATGTTCCACATGTTCAAAACACATTTTGATAATTTCTCGTGCATGTTAACAAATTTTAATCATATTCATCTTGCATGTGTGGAAACACACTTAACAACTTAGATATACCATTATTTAGACGTATGTAACTACACTGTTGGGAAAGATTGATTGATTGATTAATTGTATGTTGTTTAACGTCCCTCTAGAGAATTTTTCACTCATAAATAGACGCCACCACTTGCCAGTGGAGAGCTACAAATTTGCCATATACTCGGCACACTGGGCCATTGAGCAATGAGGGATCTTTTTCGAGCCAGCACCTACTGCGACACAGGATCTCGGTGTATACGGTCTCATCCGAAGGACCCGTCTCCACGTCCCACAGTGAAATTCAAACTCACGACGTAAGGATCAACGCGGGCAGCTGTGGGGAAAGAGAAATACTATGAGCAATGCATTTCTAATAAGTTTTAACTTTAAACCGAGTGAATAACATAACCTTTTCCAGAAAACGTTACATTAAATTTATATGTGTTTTGTAAATTACCTACTGACATGGCAATTTTTAGATAATGATAAGGATGGAAAAACAGATGAAGATTGTTCCATAGCACTGAGTAAGTATGTGTATTAGAACTGTCTACTGGAGTATCTGTGTAAAGAAGCTTTTGACGATTTAGTTGTGTTTTGTCTAATAAGAGTCCAGGGATTGTAATAAGTCAACAATTCCATATCATTAAATTCTTTATTAAAAGTTTTAGAATTTAAACAATAAATAGTGGTCATGTGTAAAGCTATATGAAAAATGAATCCAACTTTACTTTGCATGTATATTATCTAATAGACAGTTGATTGTAACAGCATTTCTTTTGATCATTTATATCTTACATAAAATTGATTCACTTACATTTTAACACAAGTTATAAAATTTCATTTGAAAATTGATCATAAGAAGAACTTTAAGAGACATGTAAGCTTGATGTGTGAAGCTATTTTCAATCCTTTATAGGTACAACAGTAAAAACCACATCATCAACAACAATTACAACTACAAAGGCAGCGATTAAATTCTCAACAAGTAAATCTATATTTGTTTCGAAAGTTACAACGTCAAATTCAACAACATCAGCATCTCCGACTAAAGCAAAATTATCTAAGACAAATGAAACTACAACATCAACCAGACCGGCACCAAAATCAACCACAAGAATAACAAAAACGTTAACAGAAACAACGTCACCACTGCCAATAGTTAAATCAATAACAACAACAACAACAAGAACGACACCTTCAGCTAGGACAACTTCAATTACAGTATCGAAAAGAAGAATGATGACGCCATCAATGAAAACAGCGAGAGCAACAACGAGAAAAATACCAGCAGTTACAACTATGAGTTCAGTACATCAAAGTATGCTCAAAACATAACCTTATTTTTGTTTAAAAACTTTATCTCATGTACACCTCAGGGATCAAACGAGGATACAGGGTGAAGCACAATTAAGTGCTAGTACATAGTATTGAGAAGTGGGGCAAAAGGGGAAGGCGTTTTTTCCTCACTCTTTTTCGAGAAAAGTCTTTTACAAGAATTCCATTAAAACGACAATTAACCCCTCCCCACTTCTTTAAAGTCTGGTCAAACACGTGTTATAACCTATTCTCTTTTTACAAATTTTAACACAGTACTAATTTCAATAAATTATTTTTTCAATAGACTCAGGCATGGATGAGGACCCTGAACGACCAGTCTGGCTCTCCTACACAGAGTATGGAATAATTGGTTGTGTTTCTGTGGTTGTTATTGGAGTCATTGGTTTGTGCTGTAAGAGGTGTTTTGGTCTGCTTGCCAAACGCAGCGATGACGACGATGACGATGAAGAAGAAAAACACCGACGAAAAATGTACAACAAAGCTAGAAAGGCAATCGGGCCTCCTGCTATCAGACCAATGTATATCGAACTTCAAAAGACATGAGCTGTCCAAAGCAAATGAAAATATGGAAGAATAATACACAAATTACAAGTTGTTCTTTTGAATAAAGATAATCATATCCATAATTCAGTTTTTTTTTCTAAAAATATATTTTGGCTACTTTAAAGTCTATCATCTAAAAAGTTAACCTTACATGTAACTTTATGAAAATCGTTATTATTTTCTATCACCCATTTCACCTTTTGATACAGCAATACATGAGTATTCATTGCACATGGAATTTACGTATTGACCTCGTCACCAAATTAGGGCGGGTATAACTATTGGCCAGAGATATTGCATTGGAATATATTGCAATATTTTCAACAAAAATTAAAATGGCATTTAAAAAAAATAAATTAATTTCAATTTATATGAAGAATGTACATAACTATGAAAAGAAACCAAAAAGGAAAAAATATATTAATTATAAATAGTTACTTTTCTTGTTTAAGATAATATGTGCCTGTTTGACAGTCGATGGAGCGGCTTTAAAACTTCATACAAAAATCGTGATTTTTTTTTAAAGGCGTTTGCTCCGTTAACAATTTGTATTGTTCTCGTGGACTTTTGAGCATGATCATTGTTCATTATTTTCATATATCTTGCATTGCTTTACAAAGAAGAATGTACGGTTTTAGCTTTATTGTGCCCTCAAAAATTAATGTTTTCAAAAAGTTTTGAAGCTAATATGAGTTGAGTATATGACTGTGATAGATCAGGAAAGAATATGGCATGATAGAGTACCATTCAGCAAATATGACGTCATAAATGTGATGCATTTCTCTATTTTAAACAGAAAAAGCATCAAAATGTCCCCATTTGAAGGGTAATTTTCCTTTAGGAAATAGTGTCCACAGCTGTCGCCCACTTTATTTTTGGATATGTTGTGCAAAATTCAATGAAAAATCACATATCTCAAAATCTTTGTTGGCGATGCATGTGGACAATATTATGTGAAAGAAAATTCCATTGAAAATTTGTGTCGTCTTCTGCAACTTTTTAAGAAAATACATAAAAATGCATGTGTTCATGACGTCACAATTAGCATTTAGAAACACATGTGAGGAAAATGATTTGTCTGCATGGAATTTCAATGATTCAGAAAACATGAGTTAATATTTTTTACAAGTGAAATTTTAAAGAAAATTTATATTTGTATGGAAAACCTTGTTCTTTATCGCCAAAAGTAATTTTGTAAATTTACTATATCTCCTTATTTCGGTATGTTGAAGTATTTTTTAATATAAAGACGTATATTTAAACTGTTACGATATTTCTATCTGAATTGATACACGCATCTTTTATCTTTTTCTTTTCAAGTGCTTAACAAATGGATTTGACAAAAAAGCTCCAATATGCCAACAAAGGAATTGATGCGGTGTATCCGAAGTAAAATTCTTTATTACAAAAGGGTCCCACAGTCTATTATTTCACCATATTTCTAATTAAATGGATAAGACTACATGTATTTTCTACAGATAAACAACTGTTGCTTCCAAATTTATTAGTTTCAAGAAAACTTCACATGGCCATTTTAAAAAATAATGTTTGGGTAAAATTATTCAATCGGTATGTAGGAGAGCATATCTTTTTTCCTGAAAATTTCAACATATTTGTTTACGGGATAAAAGGAATGAAAAAAAAATTTTTAGTCCTGCATGGAATTAAAAAAAAAATCATGAGTCGGGTCATGGCCCAGAGTATAGATATCGAATATCTGATACATAATCCTTCCCCTCTGTTTATGTTCTTCTTTACATAAAACTACATGTGTATAGTCCTGCTAGACACATTATTACTGTTGACATTAATGTAGTCGATAATGAGGACCTTAAATTATGAATTGTAAAAGGACCAACTTTAGGGAACCCCGGTCTATTACTGGCGTCAATGCTTCATAAATATAATGAATTCTTTTGAAGATTACTCCAGGCGATGGGCAAAACATGAAAAAGAAGAAGATCTTGACACTTTGATTAAATGTATCAAACGTTTGCTTAAATCTTGCATTTTAATTGCAATGCAATTGAAGGGCCAAATAAAAACAAAGTATCCTTCTGTGTTCAGTAATTCAGCATTCAGAAGTGAAATAAGAATTTCAATGTAGATAGATTACACGGTCAGTATTTACCAATCCCTAATGACAAAACAGGTAATATTATCTTTATTTGTAAGACGCTTAATTTAAATCATTTTTAGAGGAACTTTGATTTTATTCCACTGGTGGTAATCCAACTTATTCCAAAAGCTCTCTTTTTAAAGAGGAAATAATTCAAAAAACAGAATGAATGTAAGTTATCGCATCTAAATTGGATTCCAATTCTTCATAAAAATCCTTACAAACCAAGATATGCAGCGGGTTCCAGTAAATGTTCTACCAAACCATTTTCTTGGCTCTTCACTAATTTATTAACAGTAACAAAGGCAAAAACTTCAGGAGTACTGTGCAACAATATATTCGAGAAGTGGTGTTAATCAAATGTGGATACTTAACAAAATCCACGGAATTTTTGGGAAAATTTGAAAGCACAAAATTTTACCAAAACCAATAGCATAAAAACTTACGACTTTTTGACTTAATATACAACCATTCTCCAAAATTAATTAAAGTCCAAACTTTTTCTTATCATTGACAACTGTTTTTTCAATGAAAATGGAATTCGTAATTTTACTTATCTTGTCATCGGTCATTTCCAAAATTATTTTGTAAAAAACATTCTAATTGTACGCACAGATACTTTGAGGTTGATACTAAAAATATGCTTGAGTTTCTGATCGACGATATCTATATTGTTTTTGGAGACCAGGTCTCCCAACAATCTACTAGAATTCCTAGGGGTGCTTATTGCATCCCGTTATAAGCAGATATATTTTTGCAGTAAAATATATCTGCTTATAACGGGATGCAATTAGTCATAACTTTGTAAGTTTTATTGTCGTTCCAATGGCCTTGTCAGCAAATACAAAGTTTTTCATAGTAATTCTAAGACCATTATTTACACACTGATTTGAGAACGAATTTTTCCGTTATTTCCCGATCATGACAAGGAGCACTCGTCTAGTGTGACCGGTCAGCACGGTATGCCTACTCCTCCATAGCACCTGATCCCACCTATGAATGTTTGTTCTGTTCCAATTTTATATTGTTTAATAGATTTTTGATACTATTCTCCATATATTTCATGCTAACATCATTTCAAAGATTTCAAGTAAAGCATGACCATCTAAGGCAAATGCAAAAATAAATTCACCTGTGGGTTATATGACAAGGCGGTAAAAAGAACTTGTTAAACATTAAACAGGATCTACCAGATATCACCTTAAGAAATGGAAAACAGTATTCCTAAAAAAATTTTTTTTAGTTTTAGCGAAAAATATTTCTTTTACTCAATATATCTTCAATAAATTTATATTAAACCATTATATTAAGTACATAAAAATGCATATTATGGCAAGATGTACAAGCATCTTCAAGTTGAAATTGCGTCACGAGAAATACCATGCAAAAACCTATTAGGTATGGGATAACGATTGCACAATAATAATACTTATTGTATGATTGAATAATTCCTATCATTCTGATTGGCTGAGATCCAACTATGTAGAAAAAAATACTACGTTATATTTCCATGCACGTAACGTTCCAGGTGAATATAAGGACATTGATCTAAAAATAGATCGGGAAATTCCAAGTTGATACAAATAGATTTGGAAAGCTATTACAACTGCTATTGACTTTTTCTCCTGTAAACATAACATTAGGCGAATATAATTATGGGGTGGGGGTTGTAAGTGCGCATGCCGGGGCCCTCCCTCTGATAATTTTTCTAAACAAACGTTTTTACCTTTTTTAAAATGATAATCATTCATCCTTTCATAATCTTTTATTTAAAAAAGAGCCTGGCGTTATTTTTTTTCTTTTAAGGTAATTAAAATAGATTTAAAACATTTCAAATCAACACGACTTCAGGTTTATTTTTTTAACTCTGCTTCTCTCTTTATAGCTGTTTAGGACTTCAATAAATGCCAGCAAGTAATGAGTTGTATCATTGAACCATATAATAAAACAATTATTGCTCTTTTTTCAAAAAACACGATTATTCAAAAACCTTTGAAACTAAGGAGTTCACCTATGCCCTTGATAGCTCGAAGAATATTTACTCCTCAGGTGGCATTAGCAAATATGACCTCAAAAATAGCAATAATTGTATAATATTAATTTATTCAATGTAGAATGAAACTGTTTTATGACATGTATCTCATATGGTTTATCTGACACTGACACAAAATATATGTATTATCCATAAACTGAACTTGCTGTTTATCTCAAAATCTTTGTTGGCGATGCATGTGGACAATATTATGTGAAAGAAAATTCCATTGAAAATTTGTGTCGTCTTCTGCAACTTTTTAAGAAAATACATAAAAATGCATGTGTTCATGACGTCACAATTAGCATTTAGAAACACATGTGAGGAAAATGATTTGTCTGCATGGAATTTCAATGATTCAGAAAACATGAGTTTGTATTTTTTACACCAGTTTTATTTTTAAGAAAATTACAAGGCAATATTTGTATGGAAATTGTACCTTGTTCTTTATCGCCAAAAGTAATCTTTGGAAAGTTTACTATATCTCCTTATTTCGGTATGTTAGTATTTTTTAACAGACGTATATTTAAACTGTTAATATTTCTATCTGAATTGATACACGCATCTTTTATCTTTTTCTTTTCGTGCTTAACAAATGGATTTGACAAAAAAGCTCCAATATGCCAATAAAGGAATTGATGCGGTGTATATTAGTAAAATTCTTTATTACAAAAGGGTCCAGTCTATTATTTCACCATATTTCTAATTAAATGTTTAAGACTACATGTATTTTCTACAGATAAACAACTGTTGCTTCCAAATTTATTAGTTTCAAGAAAACTTCACATGGCCATTTTAAAAAATAATGTTTGGGTAAAATTATTCAATCGGTATGTAGGAGAGCATATC